CCTGTGTCATTTTATGGGTGCATTTAGGCCATTCACATTGAGAGTGATTATTGATAGATATGTTTTTATTGACATCGTGTTACCTTTAAGGTCTTTCTTTCTGTAGATTGTCTCTATATTTCTCTTCAACGCTATTCTTAGGATTTTTCCTCTTTTATAGAACCCCCCTTAATATTTCCTGCAGTGTTGGCTTGGTGGTTGCATAGTCTTTTAAGCCTTGCCGGTCTTGGAAACTCTTTATCTCTCCATCCATTTTGAATGTCAGTCTTGCTGAATAAAGTATTCTTGGCTGCATGTTCTTCTCATTTAGTGCCCTCAATATATCTTGCCAGCCCTTTCTGGCTTGCCAGGTCTCTGTAGATAGGTCTGACGTTATTCTGATGGGCTTTCCTCTGTAAGTAAGGAGGCTCTTTGTCCTAGCAGCTTTCAAGAGATTATATCTAGGGGCACCTGGGTGGCTCGGTGGGTTAAAGCCTCTTCCTTCAGCTCAGGTCATGATCCCAGGGTCCTGGGATCGAGCCCCGCATCGGGCTCTCTGCTTAGCGGGAAGCCTGCTTCCTCCTCCCTCTCTGCCTGCTTGTGATCTCTGTCTATCAAATAAATAAATAAAATCTTTTTTAAAAAAAAGAGATTATATCTACAGTTATGATTCCTCAATTTGACCTTCAGGTGCCTTGATGTTTTTTTGGAATCTATGATCTTGGATGGAGACCATTCGGCCTCTAGCACATGAACGCTGGTTCCTTTCATGAGACGGGGAAAATTTTCATGAAGAGCTTGTTCCACTATATCTTCTAGACTTCTTTCTTTCTCCTCCCCTTCAGGGATGCCAATAATTTTGACTTGGGACGTTTCTTGGCATCATTTATTTCCCTGATTCTGTTTTCGTGGTTTCTAAGCTCTTTGTTCCAGGCTTCATCTTGATCCTTTCTCTCTATCTGTTTGTCCTCCAGATCACTAATTCTATCTTCTGTCTCAGTTACCCTAGCTTTGAGAGAATGTAGATTAGATTGGAACTCATTGAGAGCATTGTGAACCTCATCCCTGGTAGCTTTTAGCTCTGCCCTAACATTGTGAACATCATGTCTGGTCGCTTTCAGTTCGGCCCTAATCAATTCCATTTGGTCATCCATGGCTTTCTCCAACCTAGCTATTGCCTGGATAATTGTTAGCCTGAATTCTCTTTCCGACATATTGTCTATGTTGATAGCCGTTAGCTCTGTTGCAGAAGGTCCATCCTCTGTATTTTTCTTCTGTTGGGCATTCCTCCTCCTAGTCATTTTGGTGAGAGATGGCTGATCAGATGTAGTTGGATGTATCGACCGTGGTGCAGTCAAGGTGCACCCTGGAACACTTCTGAGCAATCAGGATTCCCCACCCAGACAAGAGAAAAAATAAAAGAAAAAAAAAAAAAGGAGAGAGAGACAGGAAAGAAAGGGAAGATAAAAGAGAAGTTTCAGCCCAAATGAGCCCCAAGGTAAGATTTATGAAGTATACAAACAAAAACAGACAAACAAAAAGACTGATAAAAGTATATGACAAGAGAAAAAAATATATATATATATAAGCAAATAAAGGAAGAACCTCGCCAAGTGTAAGATTTATATACTATCAGGACAAACACAAAAACACAGAAACACTGGTGGAAGAAAAAGTTGGGAGAGTGGTTATAAATTCTCAGTGTGGGAGTGGAAGGTTGTTTTGATTCTTCGTGGATGTATCTTGATATCTTTGTTAAAGGACTCAACTTTCCTAAGATAAAGGGGGGTTAAAAATTGGTTTACCTATAGGGGTAGTATTAATTGGGGAAAGGGGATTACTTTGAAGTTTAACTGTACATGAATATTAGAAAATAAAAATAAAAAAGGAATAAACTAGACTAAACTAAACTAAAATTTAAAAAAAAGAAATTTAAAAAATAGAAATGCAAAAGAAAAGCACAGGTGTATGTATCAAAAAGTTCAGGTTAGAAGGTTATTATTGAATTTGATGTACTAGACAGCTCACTGTGATGGTAAATAGGTTAAAAAATTATCTGTATAAAAAAATAAGACAGAATAGTGGGAACAAATTAAAAATAAAAGTTGTCCTATGAAGTATGGGTGGTTGTTCTCTTGTAGTCTTTTTTTTTTTTCCTTTCCTGGTTGGTTTTCTGGAGGAGGGGCCTGCCACGTGGGTTTTCAGTCAATGATGTTCTCTGAGCTAAGTCCCCCCCAACCCCAAAAGGGGTGGGCTTTGAGGAAACCGGTTTTTTCAGGCTTTTGTTCTCTGGAGGTTTTTATGTTTGTTCACTTTTTTTTTTTCTCTCCCCTTGACTGCTTTTGATGGTTTTGTAGGTTTAGAGGAAAGCAAACTGCACCCTGACCTCCCTCTCAGAGAGAAGCCTCAGTCTGCTCTTCTGTGGGTGTTGCAGAACCCATATAAATTCCCCCTTGGCCGCTGGCAGAGCAGGTTCCGAGTCGCGGTCCCTGGGGCATCTTCTGCCCTGTAGAGATCCAGACAAGTATAATTCTGATCTCAGGCTGATTTCATGGGTAATCGGAGTTCTTTGGTAGGTAATCAGCTCACTTTAGGGTACAGGTTGAAAAGGCGCCTCCTCCTATTTCCCCGCCATTTTGTCTCCCCACCTCCTTTTTTTTTTTTCCATTTCTTAAAGTGTGGGTCTCCTGGTGATGATTTTTGTTTTGCTTTGTTTTTTGTTTTTTGTTTTTTTCTGCTTTTTTGTAGATGAAAATATCTTTATTTCACATTTGCTTTTGAAAATTTTTCACTGGGTATTAAATCTATTCTGGTATATTTTTTCCAGTATTTTAGGTGTTCTTCCACTGTTTTCTCACTTGCACTGTTTACAGTGAGAAATATTCTGTCATCTTTATCTTTGTTCTTCAGTAGATATTTTAATTTTTTATTCTGGCTTCTTTAAACCTCTGGTTTTAAGTAATTTGATTTTCATGTGCTATGTGTTTTCTTAATTTTTGCACTTTGAATTCATTGAACTTTGCTATAGAATGAATATCTGTGTGCTGTTGAAATACATATGTTGAAACCTGATCTCCAAAGTGATGGTATTTGGTGTTTCTACATTGGGGAAATAATTAAAGACATTAGGGCAAGCCCTTATCAATGGAAGCAGTGTCCTTATAAAGGAGACCACACAGAACTCCATCACCCCTTCAGTCATGTGAAGACACAGTGCAAAGACAACTATCTACAAACCAGGAAACTAGCTCTCACTAGACATTGAAACTGAAGGCACCTTGATCTTAGACTTCTCAGCCTCCAGAATCATGAGAAATAAATTTATGTAGTTTATATACCACTAAATCTATGGTATTTTTAGAGCAACACAAACAGACTAGGACAGCTTTTTTGATCTGGAGCTTATAATGATCAAATTTAGAGTATATTTTTGGTTCTTATTTTGTGAAAAAACAATTTTTTTCTGTTCACCTTGCTCTTCTTTTCAAGGACTTCAATTGCCTTTCTACTGGGCTCTTTAAAGATTTCTCATAACTCACTAATACTCTATTTTTTTAAAATACTTTTCTTTTTCTGTGTGTTTTATTTTGGATAGTTTCCATTTCTATGTCTTCAGGTTCACTGATCATTTATTTCTGAAATGGTTAATCTGCTGCTAACCATATCCAAGGCAATTTTTATCTAACATGTTTTCATTTCCGTGTAAAGAAGTTCAATTTGGGTCTTTGTTTTTTAAAGTCTAGTGAACTTGGGGAGCCTGGGTGGCTCAGTGGGTTAAACCCTCTGCCTTCAGCTCGGATCATGGTCCTGGGGTCCTGGGATTGGTCCCGCATCAGACCCCACATCAGGCCCTCTACTCAGCAGGGAGCCTGCTTCCTCCACTCTCTCTGCCTGCCTCTTTGCCTACTTGTGATCTGTCTCTCTGTCAAATAATGAAATAAAATCTTAAAAAAAAAAAAAGTCTAGTGAACTTTAGGAATATCTGGAATATAGTTACAACTTTTGCTTTAATACCCTTGTGTGTTAAATCTAACACCTGTATCAGTTCCATGTTAATTTCAATGTATTGATTTTTTGTTTATTACGGGAGTTGGATTTTCCTGCTTCTTTCCAAGCCTGATAATTTTTTATTAGACGTCAGACACTGTTCATTTTATCTGGTTGAGCTATGCTCTGGCATGAAGTTAGAAACATAAATAATTTGATCTTGCTTTTAAGATTTGCTCATCAATATTGGATCAGTTTTTAGCCTAGGGCTCATTATTCCCTGCTGTTGGGGCAAGATTCTTCTGGGTATTCTATCCCATATCCACAGAATTTACCAGGTTTTTTAGTCTAGCTCATAGGAACACACTCTCTTCTTATCCCTGTTTAAACACTAAGTACTGTCTTCTGTAGTCATCTCATTTGAATATAACAGATAGGTTTGATTAGAAGCAGAAGAAGGGCCTTTCCTTACCTCTGCTGGTAGATATAATTCCCTAAAATATAAAGTAGCCATTTCCCTTATTAATATCTTAAGCAAAGAAATAAAATGTCTCTTTCTTTTTTTAATTAGATAAATACCTCAAAATGCTCTTACCTTTTGGTTTTCCCAGACCTTATCATGTTAACATCATCACATTTGTTAGAATTGGATTCTGACTGATACTTCTTGTTTTCTTTCCTCAAATTACACTTGCATTTAAGATATAGATTAGCATGTATTAAATTATAATTTATTTATTTTAAAACGTTTATTTATTTGTCAGAGAGAGAGAAAGAGAGCACAAGCTGGGGGAGCAGCAGATAGAGGAAGAAGCAGGCTCCCTGCTGAGTAAGGAGCTATGTAGGACAGGATCCCAGGACCTTGGAGTCATGACCTGAGTCAAAGACAGACATTTAACCAACTGAGCCACCCACGTGTCCCTCAAGCTACAATTTAACTTTTCTTCCTCAACATTAGAAAATAGCACTATTTTGTTGCTTTTATTTAGCATTGCTATGAGAGAGGTGAAGAGGTTTATCTATTTTTTATTCCTCTGAATACTGCTTTAGCAGTGCCACTCAAAAGTGTTGGTCACAGACCAGTGAACTATATTAACTGTTTCTTACAGGTTCTTTATGAGACAAATACAGAACTAGAGTATTACAAACATTTTAGAGCAAATTGACAGAGTAATTTTAGCATATTGAATCTAACAATAAGCTTATTACAACTTGTAATTGTATCCATTTTTTTTTATTCACTTCATTTTTCCAGTAATTTATCCTGGAAAATTATCAGTCTGTGATATATTAGATATAAAACAAGAAACAGCATTTATAACAATAACAATTACAAACAAAAAATTTCGTCTCTGCAATTAAGAAACAGTGCTGGTCATGGGAACTCATGGAGCCTCAATTCAAGAGGCCTCATAATCAGTGAACTTGAGGTCACACATCAGAACTGGCATTTTGGGGGTTATAGAGAATAGGCTATTGTCTTCACTGTGTAAGTTCTTCCTCTAAGTCACTTAATATTGCTCATATGGGGAATGCTCCATGGATTTAATGTTGAAGTAAGGATAGAGTGATCCAGTGAAGCTTTCCTGGGTAAAGGAGAAGATGTGGGTACCTTGAGTCATGTCATAGAAAGAAATGTCTTTGTCTTCATAATCCAAAAAAATCACAATCTTTTGTGGATACTTTTCTATCTTGAGATCTTCTTTCAGGGAAATGTCTTGAGGGCCACAGATGAGAGCCCTGCATTTACATCCTTTCTTTTCTAAGACTCTGAATTTCTTTTTTTGTAGATCTGTGGATAATCTACTCTTGCCTGTGAGCTTCTCATAAATGCCTAGAGTCCACTCATCAGTGTCCTTAATATCCACTTCCCAGTAATGTCTTCCTGAGGTGAAGTCTTGCTGATTTAGTGTGATAAGGTTGCAGTCTCCTCTCTTATCACTAAGAGATAGATCCTGTGTTTCCTCTCTGAAGTTCTCTTTGCTCTCTGGGTCACAATTATTCTGATGGATTTCTTGATTTATCGTCACATTGGCTGTGGGGAAAGAAAAAGGAAGGGAAGGGCCAATATTATATATTTTAGAAGGCTGTTGTGCAGGTGAAACCTTAGAGAAACAGGATCAAATAGTGAAAGAACACTTGTCCTCTGGATGTGTGTGTGTGCTGGGGAAGATGGAGTTATGAGGTGCTCTCACCATGGGTTCAATGCTGCTTATCTCACCTTATCTTACCTATGCTATTATCAGTGTCTTGGCAGAATACAGGAGTGAGCTGTGACTTGCAGTGTTTACTTGACAATAGTGTTCTTTCTTAATTATCTACAAATTAGAACTATGTTCTTTAATTAGTAATGGGCTCTATGTCAGTTGACCTTTTTACAAAGAGCAGCTAAGTTACTCTCATCATTTTGAGTACTTTTCACTCAGTTGGGGATTTCCTTCATAACCAAGTGGACCTCCCTCCCCCCCACCATAGGTGAGAAACCATGCCAATATATGAAGGTGTAAATACAACCAGAGTACCTAATCCTAGCAATAATTCTCAGTCCAGGCCAAAATTAATGATCTTCATGTACTTCCCTCTCTTTACCAGAATAGTGGTTCTTCTGTCTTTTCAAGTAGAAGATGATGTTAGGAAGGAAAAATGGGATATCAAAGGGCAGGTTGGAAAGGGGTCCAAAGATAAACAAAAAGCCACTCACCAGGCAGGAACTTTTCCTTCCTCCAGTCTGAAAAAGAGCAATACAAACTGAGACTATGATGGAAACACAACCACAGAATGAAAAGGAGGGTCACACTTCCTTTCCTAGCTCATTGCTGTCTCTTCTCAGCTCTCTTTCCCTCCTCCTCTGAGCCCCTTGAACTCTCAGTATCCAGAAACTACAAGACAAAGGGTGTACTCCTCTGTGCTGCCTCAGATTAGAAATGATCCTCTTATTTGGCCCAATGCTGAGGAAGTAAGTCTGGAGAACTCCTGGAGCATGGTCTAGTGTTCTAGGCACCTATGCTTTTAAGACCTTTGTGGCACTCCTCATTGAGGATGAAAGCTATAAAATGTCCTTTTATTTTTACTTTATTTTATTTTATTGTTTTATTTCAGGGGTTTCCCAGGCTATGGCCACATAAGAGTAGAGTTTAAGCTTTGGACCAAGGCTTTTAAACTGACCTTTTTAAATTTTAATGCTTGTAATCACATTTTTAATATTTTCCTCCAGAGATAGACTCTTCATGAGGAATAGAACTACATCTGCCTCTGCCTGGGGCCACTTCTCTTATGGCAGGTCTTGTGATTTTATTTAAGATTGGATATACTCTTAGTGTCTTGGGGCACAAGGCGATAAGAACTTATCCATAATTCTTGATGGTCTCTCACTTAGCTGCCCACTTCTAAGAAGGGTAGCACTCTATTTATAGAATTGATGAATACATGAGTAAAGAGGGGCTTCTGTGATCTCTTTATCTTAGGATAAGAAGGCTGAGTTCAAGAAAGCAAAAATGACTGAATTCCTCAGCTGTCATTGATAGAGTTGGAACAAAAACCTGTATGTCCTCATCCTTACTACACTTTGCTCTCTCTTCTAGAAGCAGCTCCTGAAAGAAAATCTTAGTAGAGTGTCACCTGCCTTTGGATCAGATTATGATCTTAGGGTCTTGGGATTGAACTCTATGCAGGGAATCCCTGGTTAGTGGGATGCCTGCTTCTTCTCTCCCTCCCCCTTGCTCATCCTCTCTCTTTCTCTCTCTCTCACACAAATAAATAAATAAAATCTTTGAAGAGAAAAGAAAGAAAAGAGAAGGGAAAGAAAAAATAGAAAAAGAAAAGAAAAAAGTAAAGAAAAGAAAAGAGAAAGAAAGAAAAGAAAAGAAAAAAAGAAAAAAAAAGAAAACACTCTTAGTAGAAACTGTTTATCCGACTTTAACCCTTGGGAGGAGCACCTTGACCCTGTCTTATCATAGTACTTATCAGGCTGTGTGCAGTTGCCTGGTTATTAGCTTACTTCCCCCAGTGGATTTCAGGGTCAGAGACCATGGATTCTGCCACCAACATCTAGCACAATATCAGGCATATAAAAATTGCACAACTATATATTTAAGGAAATATCTAGCATGCTTTTGAGGTCTAACTCTGTATTGCACATGCACATACACAGTCTTAAACATATGTAGTACATGGACACAGATATTAGAAGATATAAAATAGCCAGTTCCCTCTACCACCAGATAAATAAATTTTTATGATGATATTAAAGTATTTTGAAAGATGGTTTTTCAAGCTTTTCAAACATAAACCTTGTTCCTGTGTATTGAACTTTACTTGGATTATTTCACATAGATAAAAAAATTAAAATAATAATTAATATATTTTTCCCAAATATAAAATATGTTAACTGCTCTTTTGAACTTTATTCACTGTATAGAAATGCTGCTATCATATAGGGTGTCCTTTATTCTTCCTAAATCCCACCAAAATTGCTCTGATTTCTGTCTCTTCGTTCTCTATAGTGGATGGGTTAAAAATTCTTGTTGAGTCCTACTCTAGCCACGTGGAATTCACCAGTTAATAGTTATTTTTTCTTTATACTTAGCTGACGAACAATTGAATATTTGACCTTCCAAATACAAAAAAAAAACTGTAGATCAATACCAAATAAATCTTCACAACTTTCAGGTCGGGGTGTGTGTGTGTGTGTGTGTGCGCTTATGTCTCCACTTATTATACTTGGAATATTAGAGGCACATTGCAAGACCTAAGCCAGAAAGTTACCTACCAGGATACAGCCAGGCCTTCTTCCAATCTAAAACAGAAAAAATCCAGTTAATATAAGGCAAGACATCCAAAGCCTCATTCTTCTCCCCACCCCTTATTTTTTTTCACAAGTCACTATTAAATCTTTCAGTCTTAACCTCTGAAGAGAGGAAACTGAGAAAGTGTTGGACATCAAAACATTGAGGGGGATGGGAAACCCAGTCTCTTACCTGTAAGGTATAGTGCCTTTCGCTGTTCTGAAAGAAACAACATTCGTGAGAGACCTACAACAGATGTGGAAAGGGGAGCAAATTCTACACAGGGCATGAGGAGAAGCAAGACTCACCAAGCTCTGCCTTGAGGTTCTCTGAAAGAAGAGATATAAAATCCATCAAATTGGGTTTTAGCTGCTCTTGATTTCATGGAGTAGCTGAATGGATTCAATGTGGCCCACCATTAGTAGTCCCATAGTTAAGTAGGTGGGAAAGATTAGCAAACATACATGTGGACTCTAAATGATAAGTGCTAGGAAAAGTTACATGGGAAATGTCATAGGGTCACTGAGGAAGGAGTGCCCATGCTTTGTGGGAATTCAAGCTTTCTTAGGTGTTTCAGAAGCTAATTCTGGAAGGAAGAATAGGAGGAGAAGATGGGGAAAGACATTTACACAAGGAGAAACAACACCACAGTTTGGGTACAGACCACTGCCCACAACTTTCCAAGTTTCCCCCATGGTTTCTTCTTTTCCATAAGACTCCAGCTTTATGGAATTTTGGTACTCCATGTTTTCCTTGAGGTCCTCTTTGACAACTTTTATTTCCCCACCCACCTTATACAACCTGCACCCCCAGCTTCTCCATGAACCCTATTTGTCCTGTGGTCACAATACCTTTGGCCTTAAGTGCTGTTTCCTTTTCATTTCTCATCTGATCTCTTTCACGAGATTCTCTTTGCTTTTTCTTTACTTCTCTTTCTTTGGCTTGGTGTTTTCTCCAGCCAGTGTAGCTGATCCCAAGGAGAAAGAGCATCAGCACAGGGACTGTTCCAGCCAGGGCTGCCTTCCATGGGTCCATCCTGGGGAAGAAGGGCTCTGACACAGGCAAGTGAAGCATAGTGAGGACTAGCCTGGAGGCCATCCTGCCCTTCCTCCAAGGCTTCCTCAGCCCTCCTTCCTTCCTCCCTACCCTCACCACACACCCAACTCTGCTTTGGGGTTTGTGCCTCATTCACCAGGGAGGAAGATTGCTGATGCTTTCTCCTGTCCAGAGAGGGGATTCTGGATGGAACAGGTCACGTTGCCCAGAGAGCTATCTGTGACCACAAGAGATGCTTCCACACAGAAGAGCCCATCTTCATCCTGGGTCTGAAACTCAGAGAGGGACTGTAGATTCACTCCCATCATGTCACTCCACTGCACCCTGGGTTTTGGGAACCAGCCATCTGCAGAGCACAACACTCGGATCCCACCATCCTCAGGTCCCATCATACGAACATGAGGTGCTGAGCCCAACCCTGAAGAGAGAAGGCATGTGTTAAGGCCCCGAACCTTGGGGCTCAGGAGTCCCTGAGGCTGAAGGCCAAAATGCCCTCACTAGACTGATAAGTGAACTGAAGCTCAGAGGTCAATAAACCTCTCACAGTGAATGTTAGGGCAACCTGTGATTCAGTTTTGAAATCAGCTTGATGCCTTTGCACTATACTGAGACTAAGAGAACTTGGAGTCATTTCAAGGAGAGAGAAAAAAAGGTACAATTGAAGTTAGAAAAGGAGTTTGAGCCTATAAATTGTCCTTCTCTACTGAATGGATGAAAACGAATATCTAAGGGTGTCAGTACCTGTCTGAATTAATATAGTCAATTAATTTTCTGGGGCCTTTTAGGATACAAAAACATATTCAGAAATATTGTCTTTTTTGATGTTTAAAAGTGAATAGAGCATATAGTCTTAGCATCACTGTATACTTTAAGAAATTGACATTCTGCAAGGTAAATTAGCATATCAATATATGGAAGATCATAAGAAATGCCAGGTTAGGAATCCAGACATCCTTTTTCTCTCTGCTTCACACCATGACACTTTGTGCCAAGTAAACATACCTATAACATGCAGCTCCACAATAGCCTCTTGGGAGCTCTGACCATCCATAAAATGACACCAGTACTGGCCATGATCAGAGGCACGAACATGTTGGATCAGCAGGGCCACACCTCCTTTGTTGATGGAGTCCCTCACGAACTCTGTCCTGCCACGGTATTCCAGTATTTGCTCCCCACCTTGTTCCTGTCCATTCTGGTACACAAACACAGCAGGGGAGAGTTGGTTTCGGTACCACCGAATGTGCATGTGAGCTGCACTCTGCTCAGGGGACAGCTGGCAGGGCAAAGTGGCATCTGCCCCTAGTAGAACAATGATGGGCTCAGCTGGTCCCTTCACAGAAAACCTAGACGCTGCATGAAAATCAAACACAGATTGTGGAAATGAGTGAGGGAGGATGAAACAAAAGACCCATCTGCATTTCTTTCTTATTTGCATTGTTTTATATGTCTTAAAATATATATCTCCATAATAACTTCTTCAACTATGTTCTCCAGAGGTAACAACTACCGATAGTTTGGCATTTGAAAAGATCGTTTTCTACGCATTTACAAATAGTATTTATTTGTAAGTTATGTAAAACCTACAAAAACTAAATAAGAGACTTATTTAGAATTAAATGTAGCAAAGTAACTTATTAAGCAATTATCCCTTCTTTTGGTAGGAGAGGAGTGAAGTTACTTCTCTCCACACTCATCCCTTTCTCTCCCAACACACTACTCCTAAAAGGGTAAGTAGCCATTTCTGATTAAAGATTTAGGTTCCTCTGTGTTGAGGGGTGAGGAAAAGGATTAACAGTGTTTTATATCAAAGTGAAATGTAGAATTTATAAGGTTAGGTTGCTTTTTAATTTTTTTTAAATAACTCTGAATCCTTAGAATCATAAAGAATAGTTTTTCATAAAAAATATTTTCTTGAGAGGACTTAGAAGTCAGTGGTTCCAGGGCATAAGAGCAGGGCAGTATTTATCAGAGAAGATGGTTGTTTTCCTGGGTCAGAGAAGGAAGATGCTGCAAGTCAAAAATGGGGACTTTGCTTAGCTTTGCTAATCTCCTTTGTCAAGTCACTTAAACCATCTGTTTGCAACTTACTTTAGTATAGAAATCAATAACTAAAAGGTGACTGATGCCCCCTGGGCAAAACTTGCACTGGCAGAGGCCAAAGATATTGTGGCTCTTTTGAATGGTCAGAGCTTAAGGGCCCACAAATGTAGTGACCCTGGAGTGGGAAGAATTCAAAAAGGCAGGGATGTGAAGGGGCCCAGGAGTGTTGCATACAAATGGCAAGGCCACGTGGGCTTAAAGGAAAAATCCCATGGCCAGACTGTCCCAGAGAATGTGGATCAGGCAGTCCTGGGCAAGAAGCATGACACTGGCCATTAGGCTGGATGAAGGCTGTGGTGTCCCTTCTTTTCTATTTCTGTGTAAAACCCAGAGTACTCAACAGATACGTGTTCTTAGTTAACTGATACATGGCTAATGGCTATACATGTTCTATGAGTCATTTAATTTAGGAAAAGGTATTTGACATTGCTTATATCCACAATGTTGTATAAAAGTTACTCTATTTCACATAAATAGAATCACTACATATCAATTTCTGTAATAAGAAACATCCAACCATTTTAGTACATATAATTTAGCTCTATCTATTGTTTTTGACACTGCCTATACCATTATGTTTAAGCTTTTCCTGTATCAGGGTAATATTTATATTGCTTCCAATTTATTATTACTACAAACAGTCCCACAATAAACATTTAATACATTATATATATACACATGGGAGAGATTTTCTTTATGATAAATTCTTGTGGAATTTCTGAGTCAACATGGGTGGAAATCAAACATTTTAGTACTTCCTGCCTAACTGACATCAAATTAAAGAGATTTTAATGAAAAATGTCATTATTGTAATCTCATAGCTGGTTTCTCTCCAAACCTTGAGTCTGAAAACTTTATCCTGAGAGCCCTTTCTATTTTATGAAAGAAGGACTCAAGTGCCAGAGGGGGGAAAAAATGATTTGTCAAAGATCATAACCAGGGATTCCAAATTTGTTGTACTCATACTTAGGTTTTCTTGGTAATGTGAACATTATAAAGTGTATTTTCACTGATACTGTTTCACTGAAATTAAGCATGCTAAAATCACCCATAGTCAATAAAGATTTAGCTAAATATTACAGCTATAGTTTTATAAAATCTACCCAAAGTAGTAAGGGTTGTGTATATAAAGATCAGTCACATTCTTAGCCAGAAACTCCCAGTATAACTGCCTTTGAGAGGAGGTACAATGACAACTGATGAATGATCAAGATTTTTTATCATCTGAGAAGAGCCTTTAAAAACAAGTGAATATATAAAGAGAAGGAGAGAGAACACTGACCTGCTGAGTACCATGTAGACACCTGGAGAAGGAGGAGAAGGAGGAGGAAACCAGCAGGAGAATAGTCTGAAGAAACCACCATCTTCTTCAGAGCAGAAAGTGAAAGCACGAAATGTCACTCTGACAAGGAAGTAGTCTGTAAGAGAAGGTGGTGAGAAAGACACCAGAGTGAAAACTTTCAGGGAAAACAAAAAAAAAGCCACATTCAAAGATTTACTTTTATACAGTTTTTTAGCTGTGCTTCTTCACAGAGCGCCACCAACTCCAACCCTCCCCCAATGGATTTTCCCTCTCTCTCTTCTTTCTGAAAACCATTTTCCCAGTAGGTGTAGAAAACCATAAACCACTCTCTTGTGTCCTGTGGGCTTTCTTGAAATTGAAAAGGAATTCATTTTGAGAAAGGAAAGCAGACACAAAATTAGACCACTCCTATTGGCCAATCTAGCTTCTTCCTTCTTGACTTTGTTCATTGATTCATTCATACATTTACTTATTTATTTTTACTATAAACACTCTTGTGGCTTAACTCCAGCAAGAGAAGAGAGTTTTCTCACTATGTGACCAGAGCTCAAACCCTTTTGATTTTAGGACCCACAACTTCCACAGACACACCTCCACATCACCACACATTTCTCTCTCACCATCCAGATTGAGCCAGGAGGCTTCCTGGAACCTCTTTATTTCCTCAGTTAAACTACAAGTCCCAGCTCCAGAGACATGGGTACCTGGTTGTTCTCATGGTCAGAATCCAAAGGAGTGGCTGCAGGAGCTGGGAATAGTAGGTTTCTAACCCATCCCTGTACTGTAAAAATATTCTTAGGAGGGGGACAAACAGGGCTACCAGAAGACACTGACAAGTGAATGCCTATCCTAGAATGAGTCCAGTAAGAAAGTTACAACCAGCCTGCAGCTCTTGCAGTTACTGTGAAAGTGGAGGTAATAAAAGTCATCTTGGGGGACTTTGGGCTGGGTTCAGCTCTGGAATGATAGGAACCAAAGCACACTTTGGTCAAAATTGCTCAGTGTAGCTTCCTCCTCCTACCTGCAAAGGGCTGAAATCACATAATTCAGAGAGGGAGAATCCGCTTTTTGTCTGATATTCAAGGATGTTGGTCATCCCAATGTTTAACTTACAAAGTTAAACCATTTAGAGAACAAGAACAAGAGATACAAGAAATTTCTCCTACCACACCCTAACTGGCATTGGAAACTGTGCAGGAGAAAATAAGAGGTCAGAAATGGAGGGTTCTGTGCTATGAGAAGATTAGGGCTGTATTTCCAAAATCTTAGGGCTCCTAAAAGTAAAATGGGAATAATAACACAACAGTACAGTCCCAGACATAGAATGTGCTCAAAAGGGATTTCTTTCCACTTCAGATTTTTTCCAAGTCCAAGACATGTTTTTGCATGTCACACAAGGTTTACAGATAATTAAGGACACAAATAGCAATTGCATAAATATTAGCATATAAGTCACTAATAGTCTGGTTGAAGGGATACTAAAATCTTAAATAAATATTCTCTAGAGACAATGAGGTACATTTGACTTTTTAGAAATCATATTTATGAAAATATGATTTGCATACAATGGAATGTATTGTTTTGAAATGTACATTTCAATGAAGTTTACAAATGTTTATACTCACATAACCACCACCTCCCTCAAAATATGGACCATGTCTGTCTGCCTCTTGAAAATTTCCCTCCTCTTCATTTTCAGTCAATTCATTCCAGGAAAAACAAACAGTATTCTGACATAAATCACAATAGCTTAATCTTGCCTATTCTGAAACTTCAAAAACAATAAAAAATAAATTATACAGTATGTGCACTTCTGTGTTTGGCTTCCTTGGATAAACAAAATGTTTTTTGAGATTCAACCATATTCTATTTATCAGTAAATTTTAAAATTTTCATTGCTGGATAATATGACATTGTTCAACTCTAATACAATATATTCTTCTGCAGTTCTCTTCATGGCTACCTCCCCACCTCACTCATGCCCTGCTGGCCCACTCAAGCCCTCTCCCACCATGCTTGGCAGCCCTCCCTACTGAGGCCCTTTTGTTTCACTGGGGCTCTGACATCCACCTAATAGTTTAGGTCTGAAGTATTTGGGAATGGGAGTGGAACACTGAAACAGTAATGTAAGTGTTAAAGTTACCACTTGCCTCTTGTTTACTTTGAATTTTATGAATATGCTTGTGTGTATATTCTATTCTAAAGTGTAAATAGATTAACATGCATTCCAACAGAGCTAGAAAAATAAATGTGAAAAATTGGCATAGATATCTTTCCCAATAATAGAGAATTAAGGAAAATCAGTTAATCTGTGGAGAGTATTTCAAGGGAATTACATCATAAGAGCATTCTTGTGTTTAAGGAGAAAGGTGAGGGGAGAAGGAAAAGGAGCTCTATAAGATATTATTGACTTCAAAAAGCAGTTTTAAAATAGCATAAACAGTATGGTCTTATATGCTTAAAAATATAAGAGGTTGAACTTTAAAATCATAGAAAAATGATAGGGAACTTATATCTGAGTGATATAAATGGTGTTTCTATTTTTTTGATTTTGCTTATCTCAAATTATCAGATTTCTCTCACATGAAAATGTAAATAATATAAATATGAAGATTTTTTTAATGCAAATGTGAAGCACAATAAGAAGGATTCATTTGTAGGAAATTCAGGACTAAAGAAATAATTCACATTCTTGGGAGTGGAAAGCTAACTTAAAATAATAACCAACTAGAAGGGTTAGATACCAGAGTAGACACCTCTACAGGTCAAAATATTGGTCTAGAGCACTGGGTGTTGCATCAGAGTGTTGAATCACAAAATTGTACACCTGAAACTCATACTGCACTGTATGTTAACTAAGTGGACTGTAAATTAAAACTTGAAAAAATATATTGGGCTAGAAAAATGGGGTTACTGGGTGCTTCCAGAATATGATACTTTAAATCAAAGAGATAAAATAAGTTTAATTAAGCATACTAGATCCAGAGCTTCAACAGTCATTTAACAGGTTTTCTGAACTGGGAAGCAGATTAGGGGCCAGAATCAGAAAAAGGACACTTCAGAAAGAGTTAAATTAATGGAGAAAAAATGCCATTTATATATAAAATTTTTTGAAGTTTTAGAACTACATACAAACAAAAAAAAAGCCCAACGTGTCTACAGTCCAGAAAACCCATTATGTACAAAAGAAGAATAATCAGCTTCCATCACACATCTGTCACTTTGGATTCATTACTACAAATATAGCCTTTACATTCCTGAGTAAATAGCCTTTACTCAGAAATTTACTATTTACTCAGCAAATAGCCTTTACATTCCTGAGTAAATAGCCTTTACATTCCTTAGATTATTAGAATAATCTAAGTGATAAAATGAACATCTAAATGTAAGGACAAAAGGAAGAAATTTCTGGACAAAGAATCAGAAATTTCTGCCTCACAAAACTTATCTTATGTAAAGAGTGAAGGTTGCAGGTTTTGAACACAGGGGCTTGGAGCAGGGAGAAGGTTTGGAGATACATTCCAAGTTCTGTTTATTCCACTTTGGGTAGCCACTGTTATTTAAGTTGGAGTAAGGGAAAGGGTAGGTTTGGTACATGTTGTCTGTTGAAGTTAGCTACCTAGGAATGGAAGAGCCATATGCTGTCTTTATCTGTGTTTCTCTTTTTCTGCTAACCTCTCCCAATAGATTAGGTGCCTCAAGGGAGACTGTGGTCTTCCTGTGGCAGTGACTTATTTCATAAACTTAAATTCAAGTATCATTCACACGCATGTCAAAACCCTGACTGCTTAGAAAATGTAAATCCAAATCTCTACTGAGATTAAATATTTGAACAAGTTTCAAAAAGAATACTTAAATAAGCAGATATTCTGGTGTTTGTTTATATAAGAACACCTGGGAAAGATCTGAAACTCCCAGCGCAGTGGAGAAAGGGACTCCATAAGTGTCACACCGGGTCATTTCTACTAATCCATCTTAACTGCCTGCAGTGGATTTATATTAATAAAAAATAAAGAGAAATTAGTGGATCTCACAAAGTCATAAAGATTTGGTATAGCACAGTCTATATAATTTAAAACTTCTATAACTTCATTTATATGTTCTATAACAGCTTTGTTCTCTTCTGACTATGACTACAAATTTCTTTTTTTGAGTTCCCAACTGATTTTGCTCTTTTAAAATCCAGCTGTATGTTATTAGCACCATGCAATACTTGAAAGTCCATGTTGTTAATGAATGTATCTATTTGAAAAGATATTTTTGCTTCTTTGAATGATTTCTCCCTGAATGTTTTTATTTTAAAATAATGGTGCAATATCTACAATTGTGTTAGAATATGTCTGGTTTGTAATAATTTATTTCCTCTTTTGCTATGTATCTTATAAACCATATATAGATGTTCAATCTTAGATATAGAATTTCAAAGATGTAGATTCAAGTTTTTAAAATTTTTCCAATCTCTAGTTCAGAATTTCTTTCTGTGATCCTAAGCAAGAAACAATTATTCTAGAATTCATGGAACTTGAAGGATCTTCAAAACTAAAATGAGTTAGGTAGGTAAGGGATAGAAATCTCATCCTTATCACTTCCATTATTTATAGCATTGAAGGAAGATCAAAGTCTCAGAGAATCATTTGGGGAATTTTATACTATTTTTCTTTTATCCTGGTTGAGATGGATAAAATCCAGATATCAGTGGAGAAAATTTCTGTCTGCAAGAAGATTCAGAGAGTGTGACTGTGCCCAGGTCTTCTCAGTTTCCTGCCTAATGGAATGAGGGGTCCAACAGGAAGATGAAAATTCATCATCAAAGCAGATATATTGTGGTGACTGAGCAAGACATTAAAATAAAAACATATAATATTTTAATAATAATAATATAATAAAAATTGCTAACAAGCTATACTTAAATTATAAGTTATTGACACTCTTCTAAGTGCTTTAAATACATTCATGTACCTTTCACCCCAAACTTAGGATAGATACTATTATTGAACACACTGTCACATGAGGAAACTGAGGCACATGGAGGTTGTATAACTCATTCAAAATGATAAGCTATAAATAGCCTCATCAGGTCATCAAGTTCTAATATCTATGCTACTAACCTAGACAATATACTTCTCAGAAAGAAAGAAATCACTTGTTTTTGAACTCCTCTATACTTTGTAAGTATGTACTCATTAGATAGACTTATTATAAGTGACAGGTCAAAGTTTGTTTTTTTTACCTTATTTTACTTTCGGTTTTGAGTGTGTCAGGGTGGCCAAAGGGAAGTGTACCGCTGAGGGATTCCGTGCAGGGGCCATCTTTTTCTCAGTTGTCTGAACTCCCATAAAAAAACCTGGCCCCATGATTTGTAAAGTCTAATATCTTCTTGGCATTTTGGAGAAACTCTCCTAGGAGAGACCTGTGGTCAGCCAAGAACAGGTAACTGAGAGGAATGGCAGAGAGTATTTATTCCTGGTGCCTGTGGCCATGAGTCTGAGAAGTTTCCAGATGCCTTCATCTCTGTAAGAACATAAAAAATGTGAGTTTTGTATTTTGTGGGTGATGGGCAAGAGAGAGAGAACTGAGAGCATTTGGGCAAGGATCCTAGGGGTTGTCAGAGGACAGGCCAAGTTACAAATGCTCCTCCATCATATAGGAATGTGGGGAGGGGGTGGAATTCATTGAGGCCAAATTAATGTTTGTGCTAAACCCATCTCTTTCTGTGGTTGCTCATTGCCTCTTCTGTGTCTCTTTGTCCACTGGACAAAATGTTCTTGAGTTAGAAAAGAGATTAGAGAGATTGTGGACAGATTTTTCACTGCAGAACATGGTTGTTAAGATGAAGACTGTTGGGGCGCCTGGGTGGCTCAGTGTGTTAAGCCTCTGCCTTTGGCTCGGGTCATGATCTCAGGGTCCTGGGATCAAGCCCCACATCGGGCTCTCTGCTCAGTGGGGAGCCTGCTTCCCCCTCTCTCTCTGCCTGCTTGTGATCTCTCTCTCTGTCAAATAAATTAAATAATCTTTAAAAAAAAAAAAAGACAAAGACTGTTTCCTTGGGGAAGGGAAACAAAAGTTCTTTTTTGTGAGTGTTAAAGTCTTCTCTGATGTTCCCAGAGAGACATACTACAGTTGTTTGAGAGTTTCTGGAGGTAATTTCTTAGAATCACTGTGAACTGCCTTAGCTATCATGATTATTTTTACCTTATGGATTCCACTTTTTTCCTTAATTCAGCTACTTTCAGGACCTTACTGTGTGTCATACTGTTGTCTGCTCTGAGAAAGATGGTGGGTTCCCTGGACTTCTCTGAGCTAAGAGACCTCTTCTCTATCCTACTTCTCCAGGTGTCCATGTGGGGCTCAGGTAACAATATTTTTTTTATTTTATATGCTTAGATTGTTTTATTATCTGAACAGAAGGATTAAATTACTCCATCACTACTCAATATATACCTGGGTTAATTCTAAATCCTTTATTTCAATATAGTGGTTTATCTCCTCATACATGAGGGCAATTAAATCATTATATGAATGAGAGAGAAGAATCAGGTAGAATTATTTCACTAATTATTTTTTCTAATTCATTCAGACCTCTCCTTCATGAAAAATGCATTTTCTGATGGCCAAGACCTAATTAAAAACTCTGGTTTCATGATTTCCCAGCGCTCTTCCCTCCTTCTTCATAGAATTTATCACCATTGCAATCTTAAAAATCATTTGTTTAATAAGAGATTAGCCTGTTGACTGGGTAGAGATGCCCTTTTTTTTCACTGCCATCTTCAGTCTGAATGTTTGCTGCAGAGAACTGATATGTGAATAGCAGAATATCTATGGGATTCTACTAGGCCAGTAATAATGCTGTGTTCCAAAATGCCCAGGCAGGTCATTGATATTCTTTTCACGGTGGCTCTATTCCACAGATTCATTCTTGGTCATTGGTCCATCAGAGCCAATTGTTGCCATGCTGGGTACAGACACAGTGCTGCCCTGCCGTGTGTCCCCGGCCATGAATGTGGAGAGCATGGAGCTGAGGTGGTTCCGCTCCCAGTTCTCAGAGGCTGTGTATGTGTATAAGGATGGAATGGAGCAGGCGGGAGAACAGATGGTAGATTTCAAAGGGAGAGCAGAGTTGGTGAAAGATTACATCACCGAGGGAAGAGTCGCTGTGAGAATCTATGGTCTCCGGATCTCAGACAATGGAATATACAAGTGTTTTTTTCAAAAAGGCAGTGACTATGAAGAAGCCACTTTGGAGCTGAAGGTGATCGGTGAGTAATTATCTGAGACTACAGATCACTCTACGGGAATCTAAGTGTTCTGCATTTGATTTTGGTGGGTCGGGGGGATGATGAACAGAACACAGACAAAAAGGCAGATATTCTTGGAGCTGGTCAACATCTTAGACACTGGATTTAACCTGAAGTTTTCTTAATCTTTTCATACATATATTGTGCTGTACTTTAAAATTTAATGACTTCCATAAATATCTACTATACAAATAGATCATTTATTTCCCTGGTTTGTGTATTTTCACACATTTTGAAGGAAGGCATCATGACTACCAAAATGTACCATTACTGGCAGAGACCAGAATCCCAGTTGGCTGCTATGATGGACAGAGGTTCAGCTGGGAATGTCAGTGGTTGAGTCTTGAATGCACAGTTTGGAGGAAGTAACTGTGGGGATTGTGACAGGGTGGACTGGTATTGCAGAAAATTAAATTTGTCATCACAGGATTGAGGCCAGAAATTAATCAATGTGCAGTGACTAAGTGAAGCAGGAGTAGCTTTTGAGGAATAAAAATCCTGAAGAGAGGGCTTAGTGTGAAAAGCTGAGATGGACTGAGATTGGTCCACAGGATATTGAATTGACCACTGTAAATTTTATCGTCATCAGTGCTGTTTCATTTTTAATTATAATAAAATTATAATTTATTGTATCAAACTCAAATAATTCAGAACAATATAAAATACAAATTGATAATCCTTCCTTTCCCTTCAATGTTCCTTTTTCTCCTCCAAAGTAACTATTAATACCGGATTGTTCTATGTTCTTTATCTCTTTTTTATATATTTATATAAAGATATCAATAATTATATATGATAATAAAATAAAATACATAATATAATTTGTAATTATAATAACATATATTTATATAGCAGACCTTAATCTCTGTTCCTAAATTAATCTTTAAGATGTTTACATTAACTCGTTTAAAAACAATATTGAAACTTCGAGCCCTCAGCCAATCATGCTAGTATAAAGTTTTGTCTTAGTTCTTACTGGAGCTTCTGTCCCTCTTTCCCTCGAGTAGTAATTACACAAAGGTCCTGTGTGGCCCAAAGCATTCAGAGGAGAGTTCCAGTCTTGGGCCCTGCCTTGTTAGTGCTAGGATACTCATCATCTCAGGTTTCGTTACATCTCTCCCCTTGACTCCAGTGATTAAGTCACAGATATTATTAAAGAATTTTTAAAAAGATTTTATTTATTTACTTAGAAAGAGAGGGCAGAGGGAAAAAGAGAATCTCAAGCAGACTCTCTGCTGAGGACAGAGCTCCATGCAGAACTCCTCATGGAGCTTGATCTCATGAACTGAGACCACGACCTAAGCTGAAATCAAGAATCTTATGCTTAACTGACTGAGCCATTCAAGTGATCCTATTAAAGACTCTTGATGCAACACTATAAGAAGCACCTAAAGATCTCTCTTTGTTAGGTTTTGGGAAACGTCCCAATCACTCTATCAAGGTTTCCTTCATTGACATTCTTTTTCCCACCTATATTACACAATTGCTCTCACTAATTTGTGTACTCAACAATGTAGCTAAAGAGTCTTATTCATGCAGTCCTACTTTAAGCCATATATTTCTGAAGCTGAAATATTACAATCAGAATCAGAGAGGGGAAAGTTTAGAGGAAAACTCAAGCAATAGTTAATTCAGCACAGTTAACAACACATTAAAATGTCAAGTAATTTTCTGCTCCATATACACAAATATATATATATATGTATATATATATATACGTATATATATATGCCATATATACCGTATACACATACACTTAGCCATTCCCTACCCCTATCCCCTCTGGTAACCATCAGGTTGTTCTCCATAATTAAAAGACTATTTCTTTCTCTCTCTCTCCTTTTTTTCCTACTTTGCTCCTTTGTTTTGTTTCTTAAATTCCACATGTGAGTAAAATCATATGGTATTTTTCTTTCTCTGACTTATTTTGCTTAGCAGTATACTCTCTAGGTCCACCCATGTCATTGCAAGTGGCAAGATTTCATTGTTTTATTTTTTATGGCTGAATTATATTCCATTATATATATACTACTTCTTTATCCACTTATCAGTTGATGGATACTTGGGCTTCTTCCATAATTTGGTCTGCTATCATGGGGGCCTTGACTGGCTTACAGGTGCCCACGTGGTGAAGAGGGGCAGAATCCCAGGAGGGACAGTATGGTCTGAGGATTCCCTGGGTCACAGGAAGAATGGATGGCACCAAGATCAAGATGCTGTGCTGTTCCCAGGCATAGGATCTGGGAATCCAGTGGAGAGTAGCAGGTCCTGGTGCCAGATTTCTGCTATGAACTGCAAATCACCAGGCTGTTGTCTGACCGCTTTCCTGGGATAGGCCAGCAAGCCTAGTGAAAACCTCCCCTAGAGAAACAACATGTGTCCCCATCTGGCAGTCTCTGAAATTTAGAGTTTGCAAACTCTGAGGCACACCTGAGATAAAAAGGCTCAAACACAGGCAGGGTGAATCCAGGGTTCAGAGGGAAACTGAGGACACAAATAGGGTGATTGATTGCTCTTCTCTGAAGGTTCACTGAAGAGTAGGGGTCCAAACTTTCAGCTCTGAGGCCAGAGAGCAGGTTACAGCCATTTTCATAGGCTCAACAGTGCTGAAAGACTTCAGGGGGCAAAATAGCACCACTAATTGGAGGCTGGAGCTGTGTACACCAAGCTCTACCCTCTTCCACCCTGGAAACGCATTTCTACTAAAACAAGTTATCCTGAGAATCAACGCAGCTGGTCCATCCCCCAGAAGACCAGCACAAATAACTAGTCACACCAAGTTTATTGATCACAGATTGCTACAAAGTTTCAGCTCTAGGGGAAATAAGATCTAATTTCTGTTTCACTTTCATTCTTTACTTTGAAATTATTTTTTCACTTATTTTTTTTACATTTTCCAATTTATTTTTTATTTTTTAAATTTTAATATATATATATATAGTTTACATTTATCTAATTTAATGTATTCTACATTATTATTATTATTATTATTATTATTTATTTTGGGATCTAGATTCTTTTAGCAAGTAGACCAAAATACACCCAGGATCTAGTTTTGTTTTTATTTGGTTTTCTTGTTTTTTATTTTTGTTTTTCTTGTTGTTGGTGGCATGTGTGTGTGTGTGTGTGTGTGTGTGTTTTCTTTCTCTTTGATTTTTGTTTTTTGTTGTTGGTGTTCTTTTTTCTTTCTTCTTTTCTTTTCTGAACAAAATGATGAGAGAGAGGACTTCATCCCAAAAGAAAGAACATGTGACAGAACTCACAACCAGGGATTTAATTAATACAGATATAAGTAAGGTGTCTGAACTAGAATTTAATTATAAGGATACCAGCTGGGCTCAAAAAAAGCATAGAAGAAACTATGTAAACAAGACATCTGATAAATGGTTAGTATCCAAAATCTACAAAGAACTTATCAAACTAAACCCTCAAAAAACAGAGATCCAGTTAAGAAATGGGCAGAAGACACTTTTCCAAAGAAGACATCCAGAGGGCCAACAGACACATTGAAGGATGCTCAACATCACCCAACATCGGGGATATATAAAATAAAACCACAATGAGATACCATTTTAAACCTGTCAGGAGGGCTAACATTAACAACACAAGAAACAACAGGTGTTGGTGAGGATATGGAGAACGGGGAGAGAGGATCTGAAGCAGGCTCCACTCCCAGTGCAGGGTTTGATCTCATGATCCTCAGATCATGACCAGAGCCAAAATCAAGAGCTGGACGCTTACCCCACTGAGCCACCCAGGCGCCCCTGCTCTAATCTTCATTATTGCCCTCCTTTTACTGACTTTAGGCTTCAGTTGTTGTTCTTTTATCTAGTTCCTTAATGTGTATGGTTAGGTTATTTATTGAGATTTTTCTTGCTTCACGAGGTAGGCCAGTATTGGTATACACTTACCTCTTAGTACAGCTTTTGCTGCAACCCACAGGTTTTAAACCACTGTGTTTTCATTTTCATTTGTTTCCATGTGTGTTTTTATTCTTTGATTTGATTTCTTGGTTGACCCATTCATTGGCTAGTAGCATGTTGTTTAACCTCCATGGATTTGTGGTCTTTCCAGACTTTGTGTGTGTGTGTGTGTGTGTGTGTGTGTGTGTGTGTGTGATTTACTTCATGTTTCATAGCATTGTGATCAGAAAAATCACGTTGAGGCCTGATCTGTGATCTATATGTGATCTATTCTGAAGAATGTTCCATATGCACTTAAAAAGAATGTTTATTCTGTTGTTTTAGAATAAAATGTTCTGAATATATCTGTAAAGTCCATCTGGACCTGTGTATCGATCAAAGCCATTGTTTCCTTGTTGATTTTCTGTTTAAATAATCTGTCCCCTACTATTATTATATTATTATCAATTAGTTCCTTCATGTTGGTTATTGTCTTATATATTTGAGTGCTCCCATTTTGGGTGCATAGATATTTACAATTGTTAGACCTTCTGATCAGATTTTCCCTTTTAATATGATATAGTGCTCTTCTTTATCTCTTGTTATAGTCTTTATTTTAAAGTCTAGTTTGTCCCACGTAAATATTGCTACTTGGGCTTTCTTTTGACATCCAACTGCATGTTAAATGTGTCTCCATTCTGTCACTTTCAATTTATAGGATTGAAAGAACTAATGAAATTCAGCCATTCTTGTTTTCTAAGTTGATGGCTTTGGAGAAATGTTCTCCTTGTGTGTTGTCCTGTGTGCTCCTCCCTCTCTCTTGCCATTCTCCATAACTATGGCTCCCTTCCCGTCATAGCACCCATAATCCCTTTCTCCCCTAAACCACATCTCCCACCTCCTACATTTTTCTATGTGGCTCTTCTCTCCCTTTGGTTATGGAGTTTGTTCCATACATCTTCAGGTCAATTTGGGGGACATTTAGGGTGATTTGATAGTTATATAATTGTGTTCATGGGATGAGGTGAGCCTAGGGTCCTCCTATTCCTCTGCTATCTTCTTTCCAATGAAAGTTTGTACCTCTTAATCTCCTTTACTTATTTCTTCCATCCCACACTCCCTTCCCCTCTGGCAACTGCCAGTTTGTTTCCTGTATTTATGAATTTGTTTTTGGTGTTTTGTTTGTTTGTTCATTTGTTTTATTTTTAGTTTCTACATATAAGTGAAATCATGTGATCATGATTTCATGATCATGATCATGATTATAGAAATTCAGAAGTATTACGTAGTCTGATCTGTCAACATTATCTATGTCTTTTTAGTTTTTTAGTGCTCTTAGATGTACACCTTTATACCAACATCAAAAAAAATATTTCACCTTCCTTCCTTCTAATATCTTTTCTGTAAAATATATTGAAATATAACATACACAGAGAATTTACTACTGATTTTAAATGCCATATAATGAATATTCACAAAGTGAATACACCTGAGAAATCAGCACTCAAATCAAGAAACAGAGCTTAATTAGAATCCAGGAAAATCCATTTTTTTTCCTTTTCAGTTATGATTTTCTCAGGAGTAATCACTATTACGATTTCTAATCTCACAGATTACTTTTTATATGTTTATGAATTTCACATATGTGGATGGACTCTTTTGTCTGTTTTTATTTTGCTTGTTTTTTGTTTTTGTGAGATTTTTCTATGTGGTTAAATGCATATGGTTGTAGTTCATTCCTATCTCTGTTCTATTGCTTTGCTTTTTACATTTATATTTTTAATCTATATGAGTATTATTTTGGTATTAGAGTTTATAGAACGCTTAAAATATTTGTTCCTAATTATATCACTTATTTCTATACTATTAGCAAATGATGTAGAAAATCTGTACCAATTTACAAATGCATATTTTCCATAAACTCATAACACCAGGGCAAATTATAAATACTTTGCACTTATAATGACAATATCATAGTGTTTCTATTTCTAAACCTTATTCTCTGCCCAAATTTCTTAATTGTAATGTTTTTATTCATTTTTGCATGTGTTAGGTCTATCTTAAATTAATACTTTTTATTTTATTTTTCCAACAAGATATCTGTAGACTTATTTTATCCATCTTCTTTATGTATCACTTTAATAAGAATCCAAATCCATTAGGTCTTGAAGGAAAGAGTGACAAACTCTTCTGAGCCTTGTACTGTGATCCCACTCTAGTATCTCCTTTTTTAATTTATTTTTTCAGTGTTTCAAGATTCATTGTTTATGCACCATACCCAGTGCTCCATGCAATATGTGCCCTCCTTAATACCCACCACTCTAGTATCTTCTAAGTAGGAAGTCAAAGTTTTTCTGTTCCAAAACTAACCTCACGTACATCATGTCATTTTTTTTCAGTACCTTTCCTATGTCTGTTCATTGGCTGATGTACATAAATCCAATCTTTAGAAGCACTTGATTGATTATATATCTGCACTTATCTTCTGTTAGTTAAACTTTGCCTACCTAGTACAGCTGCTTCTATGCTCAGGAATTGGCATCCCTTTCTGTTCTCCTTTCTCTCTCTCTCTCTCTTTTTTTTTTTGAAGAACTATTTATTCATTTGTCAGAGAGAGACAGACCACAAACACAGGCAGCAGTAGGCAGAGGAAGAATCAAGATCGCCATTGAGCAAGGAGTGTAATGTGGGACTTGATCCCAGACCCTGGGATTATGATCTGAGCTGAAGGCTGACACTGACTGAGCCACCCAGGTGTCCTGTTCCTCTTTCTCAACATAGGTATAGTTTTTGTTTATTTCAGCTTAGAGCTTCATTGGTTATATTCTTCCAGGAGACACAAGATCTATTTTTGTTAGTATTTTCTTCTTAGGCCTTGACTGTTGCATTTTGCTCATGACCAGTTTCTTTTTTTCCTCTCTGATGTCTTCTGTTTTCTATTTCCTCTTAACTTCTTTTTTTTAATTAAGCTTTTTATTTTAATTCAAGTGTAGTTAACATACATTAGTTTCAGGTATACAATATTGTGACTCAACAATTCTATACATTATTCAGTGTGCATCATGGTAATCTTCATCTATTTCACCCCCCCACCCCACCCCCCAACACACACAACCTCTGGTAACTATCAGTTTGTGTTCTATAGTTGAGTCTGTTTTGTTTATGACCAGTTTTACTCACTTCTATTAATTTCCTTTGTTCAGGACAGTTGGCAGCTCTCTCAAACAATTCTGAAAATTGTCTTTCAGATTGCTTTCTGTTATTTAGAAGTGTGGCCTTCCCAGGCAGGTCAGGATTTGGTAGTAAAAATTATTAGCTGCATTATTTTTAGCCAAAAAAGATAAGATCTCTGAGGTTTCTAATATATTTCCTATATCTGAGGAATCAGAGTAGGACTGAGCTAGGTGTCAGAGGATCCATACCATGAATATTAAATTTTAAAAGGATAAAATAATATATAGCCTTAGAAGCCAGGATAGCCATTATTCTCAAAGAGACAATGGATTTTTCTAACATTCTGGTAATGTAATGTTTTAATATGTGCTGGTGATATGGATCTCCTAGTGGGCCCATGTACAAAGTTAAAGAGGAGAGGTGGTAGAGAGAAAAGAAATAAATGAGAGTGGAAAAGTTAAAAAAATAAAAATAAATCAACTCCTTCATGGAATAAGGCAACCTTCATCTTTTAGATATTCTCCACTCAGGGGAAGAAAGAAAATTTGGAAACATTACAAAATGATATTGTTTAAAGAAGTCATTACAGGAAGAATCAATTTAATCAAAGATAGCCTTCCTTAAGACTTCAATAAGTGAAACAGATAGATATAGGATAGATATAGAAGTATTGGTGTTTTTCTTTTTTTTTCTTTTTTTTCAGATTTTACTTATTTATGTGACAGACAGAGATCACAAGTAGGCAGAGAAGCAGGCAGAGAGAGAGGAGGAAGCAGGCTCCCTGCTGAGCAGAGAGCTGGATGAAGGGCTCAATCCCAAAACCCCGGGATCATGACCTGAGCCGAAGGCAGAGGCTTTAACCCACTGAGCCACCCAGGCACCCCTGGTGTTTTTCTGAAAGAACTTAACATTTGTAAAATTTACTCTGCTCTTTTCCTTCTATGGCCAATTGCAGATATCCCTGGGTAGAGCAGATGTGGTAGGCATCAGTAGTCCTAGTATCAGCTTCAAATTTCTTGAGATTTAGCCACAATTACCCATTTTTTCATGAGATAAGAAAAGAAACCCTACCCTCTCTTCCCACCAAGAATGATGGTGCTTTGTCCATGTCCCCACATTGGTGTTATTGTGTAAAATTAAGGACTCTGGATCAAAGGTGTCTAGGTCTCAAATGACTTTCTCCTCTCCAGGCCTGGGTTCTGGTCCTCGTGTTTTTATGGTAGGTCCAGAAGATAAAGGAATAAGGCTGACATGCACAGGCAAGGGGTGGTTTCCCCAACCTGAGGTACAATGGACAGATGCAAGAGGAGAGAAGATACCATCTCTCTCTGAGGATGAGAACCAAGACGATGATGGGTTGTTTCAAATAGAGGCATCTCTCATTGTGAGAGACAGTTCAAAGACAGAAGTGTCTTGTTCCATGAAGAACCCCTTCTTTGGACAAGAGCAGGTGGAAACCATTTCTATTCCAGGTCAGTGTTGCTCATTTGGGGGACAGGATAGTTGTGAGGAGGGGATATTTAGGATTTGGGATGGGATAGGATTGCTTGGTAATGTTCTTAATTAGGTTTTGGGGGTTTCTGTATCAGAATCTTTCTTCCCTAGGACCTCTCCTTGGAAGGGAGCATTTGCTGTGACTTTCCTCTTACTTGGGATTTTCCTCGGTGCTGTTGTGTTTTTGGCCTGGAAAGAACAACAGGAGAAGAAAAGAGTACAGAAAGTTCAGAAGGAAAAAGAGAAAGAAAGTGAAGCCAAAGGTAAAACTGTGAATCAGGCTAGGTGGAATCTGTGAACTTATGGGCTTCTAGCTGAGCATATGGATGGAATCTGTTGGAATAGAGAGACATGAGTGCATTTAGTTAGAACCTCACAACCTCCAGTAAGACATGGAGTCAAGAGCCTTTATGAGAAAAATATAATAGAGTCCAATGGAGAGAGAAAATTCATTGGTATAAACATGGAGTTAGAAAAAATGGTTGTAGTAATTCTCAGGGTGAATTTTTTGATCTAGGTATGTGGAAGTGCATTCAGGATCTGGGCCTAGGTAATATAGTCTAGAAAATAAACCTTAGACTTGTTTTCTTTCCTTTTTAGAGCTTCTTAAAAAAGAGCTTGGTAAGTGTTCCATTTTTCTTTGTTGTAATAGATGAAATAGAGTCCTTCCTCCATGCTATGTACTTTGCATCTCACAGGTTGTTGTTCCATTTCAGACAGAAGGAAGCAGTTATATCAACGAGGTGAGTAATATCAATGTTATAGTTGGACCAAGCATCTTGTCTGTCCCTCTGTTCTGATCATCTCCTGTTCACCTTGTTAGTGAGGGAGGGCTTCTCCACCCTAAATAGAATAAGATATTTAGACACATGACACCCACCACTGGACATATGAGCTTGACAGCAGTTTATTAATCACCTATACTCACATCCTGGGGGAGGAGGACAACATAAGCCATGCAGGATCACATGTTGCACTTGGGAACAGAGTGAACCAGCAGGGGCTGAGGAAGGCAAGCTTTTTAGTAACCATAAGATGAGGTGCTACTGGTTTCTATGGAAGTATGTGATTGGCTTTTTTTGAGTGATTTTGCAGGCTGATAGGGAGCTGAAGGCCATTAGGTTGAAGACCAGGTGGGGTTCAGCTGGCTCAACTGGTAGGAAAATTAGTTGAGTGTGGAGTTTCTTCTACTGGGTGGAGGCATATCTGGTGAGAGCAGGGGTGCTTACAGGTATTTAGAGACCTTTGAAGCTCAAAGTCATCAGACAGCACATGAAATTTTAGGCTTTACAGTACACTTCTCCTCTCCCAAAAAAATCAGAACCTCATATTTTATCACAATATGTTAGTGGGATGTGGGAAATATGAGAAATAAAAGAGGAGATCAAAGAAGGCAAATACCCTAGAATTGTCATTGAAGCGATGAACACAGAAATATAGCACTATCATAAAACTTCATGTGGTTGATTTCACGCAAATTTCACATGGTTGCAGCAATTTAATACTCTGGAGTGAAGGTCTTGTGAATGGGAAAATCTAATTCTTTTGTTTTATTTCAGACTGGAGAAAAGCAAAATTGTATGCTGGTGAGTAACTCATGTTGTCTTGGGACTTCAGGTACCCCAAAATTTCATGAGGCATTTCAAGAGCATTTTTCAGAGATGTGGTATATTCCAGAAATTTTATTTTGAATGTGGGAGTCCAAAAGAATAAAGGAATAAGGGTTAAGCATCCCACTGGTTGAGAAGACATGTTCTTTATGTATTTTCCCATATGATTTTTTTTTTCTTTTTAGACTGGAGAAAGGAACAATTCAAAGCAGGTGAGCGACTTTATTATTTTATCCCACATAATCTTTTACACAAATGAGAAACTCTTACATTTATATAAACTCCCAGTAAAACCTGGTTGGTTATTCATTTCATGACTTTCAGTTCAGTCTCAATCTCATGCTGAACTGTGAACAGATTTCTTATTTTTCTGATATCATTCATTCATCCAGGATTAATTTATAGAACTATTTATTCAATGCCAAATAAATAAAGCAGATCTGATCTCTGACTTCATGGAGAAGTACATGTACAAATTGTGATGAAGTTTATGAAGGAATAATAAATTTCCATGAGAAAAAAAAATGGTATATTTAAGGAATTTCCCCGAGGAACTGATTTTTAATCTGAGACTTAAGTGATATGGTAGATTTATTCATGGGAATAACAGTGTAAGAGCAACTTGGTCAGAAGGAAGTCTGTTACACTGGCCTGAAGCAGAGGAGCTTGTTGTATCTCAGTGTAAGTGGAAAACCATCTTAGAATCTTTCCAGAATTATCAGTTGATTATCAGTTTCTAGTGCATGCTGGTTTACTCTGAATATCCCTGCATCCACGAATATTTCCTAGTCAATTTAATTCTCCAAAAACTAAAGTACATTCTACTATCCCCACATACAAATTCTTATGAGAAAAAATTCTAACTGCTGAAGATATTTTATTTGAGAAGAAACAAATTAATTACTGCAGGTATTAGTACTATTGCTGCTATTACTGCTGGTATTAGTGTTACTATAACTATTGGAAGCTTAAAGAATTTACCAAGTGTTCATTATGGGCAAGACATAGTTGTAAGTTCTCTACACATTATCTTGTTTATTTCTCACAACAGTCCTATGCTGAAGTATCAAAATTGCATATATTATTATGAAGGTAAATTAAGGACAAGAGAAGCAAAGTAGCTTCAAGATCACACTTACTAAAGATAAATTAATTATAAAAATTCATAACTGTCTGACTACAAAGTCTACAATTTCAACCATTAGAAATCTAATAAAAATACATGAGAAGTAGGTGACTTAATAATTACATAATAAATTATATCAAATGAAAATGATACCAAAGAAGCTTAATGAAAGTAGATACACTGTGATTGGACTCTGACAGGGCTTTCTTATTATGTCAAGCATTAGAGAGCAGCTAGAGGGACCCCATCTTGAAATACCTGACTCTGGGGCTCTTCAAACCAGGCAGACAGCCGTCTCAGTTAGATAGTTTCAACCCATCTGGAACAAATGGTTACTCAAGGTCATCCAGCCTTGGCTTTCTATGATATATACACATATCTCCTGAGGAAGGACACAGAACAAACCATAAATTGTCTTACCTCCTCTTCTGTGGCTCTCCCTCTTATTTTCCTTCATTCTCTTTTCCCTGTATTTGCATTTTTCCTAAGGCCAATTGGTCTTCACTGTGGAATGACCTATTTCCCCCCTATACCTGCAGTTGCTGTTACTCTGGATGGAGACAATGCTCATAAAAGTCTCATCATATCTGAGAATAGAAAACAAGTTTCTTTAACGGGAAATGTTCCTCAGGACGGTGATGCCTCAGTATACCAAGGACAAGATGAATCTGAAGATGTCTTCAGTGTTCTGGGCCAGAATTCCTTTGAAACAGGGAGATATTACTGGGAGGTAGAAGTCAATATTGAGACAGAAGCTGTACCTGAAACTAAATGGGCTGTGGGTGTTTGTTTAAATTCAGTAACAAGAGAGGGGTGTTTTGTAGAAAGTCCAGAGAAGGGTTTCTGGGTGTTAGCATACAAGGAAGGAGAATTCAAGGTTCCCATCGCCTCAGAGTCACTGTCACCGAGACAGCATCATCAAAGGATAGGAGTTTTCTTGGACCAGGAAGACGGAGATTTGTCATTTTACAACATGCTTGATGGGTCTCACATCTTTTCTTTTATTGGAGTCACCTTACCTAAGACCCTGCGTCCTTATTTTAGCCTTCAGGGTGCTGGCACATCTGTGACCATCTGCTCAACTTCAGATGACACTGAAAATTGTCCTGATTCTTCTCCAAATACCTCTGTAACTCATTTAAGGAGTGGTGACATGGGTGTCCCCCAAGAAGCTAACCGTCTATTACCTGCATAAGAAGTGAAATGTCAGCACCTCTGCTGCTTTTGCTCAGGCTTCTTACTGGTATGTTCTCCAAGAAAGCTGTTCTTGTGTGGAGAGTAGGTCAGCTTCACTAGGTGTGATTTCAGCCCCTTTCTGAGAGGCAAAGGCAGAAAGAGAAATGGGACTACTGAAAAATATCTGGGGGAATTTCCTCTTGTGTTATTTTTGGGGAAATACAGTGTCTTTTTGAGCAGCAACAATTTGTCATAAGAAAATTCAAAAAAATGCATGGCCTCTCTTCTGTTCTGGTACTGTGTATTGAAGTGAATATTTTTAAAACTACATTAAAAAGAAAAATCTCTCTTCCTGTTATTTTTGTTATCAAATATGAAGGAGCGGTGGCGTTTGAAGGGAAGAATCACAGTTGAGTGGATCCTTAATGCATATTACTACTATTGTAGATACACAAATTTGTTCAAGCCTCGTGAAAGTTAATAGTTTGGCTTGCCCTTTCTTCAGGTTCATGTCCACTGACCTTGAAACCTGGAGTTTGCCATGCAGTGGGGAGGACTGATGTAGAGCTATAAACCATTTGAGCAGGAGCCCAATGCTTCTGTGATGAAAGACACACACACACACACACACACACACACACACTTTTTTTTTTAACAAATTCTCACTGGTTAGCAAGTCTTGAATTGTGTCATATGTGAATATGTGAATGAAAAAAGAATTGATGTTGCACTTTACGCTTTCAGAGAAAAATTTTCAAATAAGAATGAAGAAACATCTGGAGGCTTCATGGAGAAAGGCACTGCTAACACTGGCATATTTTTTTTTTCCTGTTCTGATCATCTTCTTACCACTATTGAGGGTTTCTTTGCCTTTAGTGCAACTAAGTCTTCAATAAGCTTATGTCTTCAAGATATAAAATATGAGTCTCTCCTGTTAAATGAGCCCCCTCTTCCTGGAGATAGAAGAATCCACTTAGATTTTCCACACTATTAACCAATTTTTATTTTTATTTTTTTTTTAAAGATTTTATTTATTTATTTGACAGACAGAGATCACAAGTAGACAGATAGGCAGGCAGAGAGAGAGAGAGGGAAGCAGGCTCCCTGCTGAGCAGAGAGCCCGATGTGGGACTCGATCCCCAGGACCCTGAGATCATGACCTGAGCCGAAGGCAGCGGCTTAACCCACTGAGCCACCCAGGCACCCTATTAACCAATTTTTAAACCGTAAGTCCCATTAACCACCTCTCTGGGAAGATATATCTTCTTAGCAAAATTTCACTGACACACTAAGAGGTAAAACCAGTAGTGGAACCAGGAAGAATGAAGCCAGAGCCCAGAATATTAACATTACTGACAGTAAAGAGAATACTTATATCAAAAGCAAGCAAAAATTAAGGGAGGAGAGAGGTAAATGAATGGTAGACAAATGTTAATAGCTATAATCAAATGGACATGGTAGATGAGAAGGGATTTCTGGACATGAGAACCCTTTACATGGAGATAACCACAAAATAGGAACAAAGGGGATTGGAACTATGATATAGAACAGGAAGGATAATGGGTTCAGTTAGGGATATGTCACTTTTTTATATACTCAGAGCAATCAGCATGAGATTTCCAAATGAGTTTTTAAGCATCTCACCTGAAGAAACTAAATTCATATTTTGTTCTACAAGGGGATTCCTTCCGCTGTCACTTCTCCACTCTTTTTTTTTTTTTTTAGAAAAGTCAGCATAAAGCACTTTTATTGCAATCATAAAACTCAAAATCCTTATGTAGTGTGAGGTGGTGGAGGTGGGGTACACAGCAATAATTTTCTCTCACCAATTCACTATACAGGACAGCAGAGGGGTGGGAGAGGGAGGAAAAGCCAGGAAACTGAGCTCAGCATGGGGAGCTGAACGTCAAAACCAGGTGATGTTGAAGCTGTGATGACCAGCATCATTTCCTCAAGACAATACCCTAGGGTTTGTCATGATGGCTGGACTTTTCATTGGGTGTCTATGAACAGCACGTTCAATTTAAGCTTTTGATTAAGTTCCTAAAACTTGGGAAGTGGAACTTGGATAGCTATGAGATTACAAAAGTCCTGAATATCCATTAGAAAAACGACAGGATGGAAAACAATAATAAAACTAGGCCACAAAGAAGTCTTCAGTGATCACTGCTGGTCTGGGGACAGATACCTGTAGTGTCTGACATCACAGTGAGAATAATCTGCTTTCATTAGGCAGAGAGTTTAAGGTGAGGCTAGGGCTGGGCAGTGGATGCAAAGGTTCTTCTTCTCCCCACTTCAGTTTCAGGTAGGGCTTGTAATTTGACCCAAGGACATCTCTCAACTTGGAGAGTAATTCAGCCCTCAACAGAACCTCAAATCTGCTATAGCTTTCAGTGCAACAGCAAAAATGTTTAATTTGTAATAGATGAAAATTTCATCCAAAAAAATAATAACAAAATAAAGATTCTTGCATTCCCTCCCACACTAATCAAACCATGGGACACCTGGGTGGCTCAGTCGGTAAAGTGTCTGCCTTAGGTTCAGGTCATGATCTCAGGGTCCTGGGCTCAAGCCCCATCCACATCAGGCTCCCTCCTAAGAGGTGAGTCTGCTTCTCCCTCTCTCTCTGCCCCTCCTCACTGTTTGTGTGTGCACTCTCTCTCTCAAGTAAATAAATAAAATCTTTTAAATTTTTTTAAAAATAAAGTTAACCCATTACTTGTGCTATTTATACTTTACTAATACTTAAGTATTAGATGGATTTGGATCTAGAAATCTAGATCCAAAAGACTGAAACTGAACCTTTACCCCAAAACAAAAACAAAATAAAATGAGTAACTTGAGATTTATGGCATATAATTTAAGCCAACACACATAGAAGGAGAGAAGGAAAGAGTGAAGTTGAGTTCCAGAACACATTCATGGGTCATGTTTATACAAAGAGTATAGTGGAAAGTCAGGAAAAGTGCCATAGGATTCACATGTGCATCTTGGCGTACAAGATCCTTCCATGACACACCTGAGAATGGGGAGCTCAGGGAGGAGGCCATTCCTGTTATTCCAGTTTCAGAAGCTCTGAGTCAAAAAGGAGAGTGTCATTTGGATGATGACTGGATGCCCAATGGCACCACACCAAAAATGTAGTCTGGAGAGATAGTTTGGCTATCTGATCCATATTCTTGTGGACAACCCCTTCTTCTCAGAAGAGCTTGTTTCTGTCCCTGAGATAATCAAGTTTCTTTCCATCTTCAGGTATCCCCAGATAGTGCACCTTGTAGGTCTGACCACACTTGGGGAAAGTGAATCCAACTCCAGGGAGATGGTCTCCCCTGCACTCCCATGACAGCTACTATGACAAATGCTAGTCAGGCAGGCTGATCAACAGGTGACCGGGGGCGGTTCTCTGGCTTTCAAAAATTGTTGTTGTTTTAAGTAAGCTCAATGCTGAGTATTGGCTTGAAGTCAGGACTCAGAGATCAAGAGCCGCATGCTCCACCAACTGAGCCAGCAAGCTGCTGCTGCTCCTCCACTTATTTTAATGGATTTTGTCCTTTTAAACTTAGAGATTCAGGATCAAAGGCTAGAGGTGGGCAATGAAAGAAAATGTGAAGGGTGATGTTCTATTGGAATCACAGTTGTAGAAATGTCAGGGATAATATCATACATCATATCTTCATCTCTAAGGTTGGGCAAATCCACAAGCAATGAAGGGTCTCCGAGTAGCCCATAGTTCCTGACAAAGTAGTGACCTTGAATTCACCATCTGACACCATCAATTAAATATTTGTTGCCAGACTGTTCTGGCAATCCCATTCTGAGTAGACTTTATGAGGGAATGATAAGACATTCGAAAAACAAAGAGACTTTACTAGAATAAAGAACTATCTTAAGGCAGGAATTATGCCTTACTAAACATTTTATCTCTACAGCCCAGCACAGTGTATTCTACAGATAAGATATTAAATATCCTATTTATGAATCTATTCCTCTACTTCATAATATTCCTAATATATTACACTTTTCTACTTTGTGAGGACACACAAAAAAAGGAAAAAATCACTGCTCTAATGGAACTTAAAGTCTACTGACAATAAGGAAAAAGTCCTGCAGAGGGGATAAAAAATTTGGTTTCTGATTTCCTCTGGTCCTCTCCCTTAAACTGAGATCTGTCAAATCCATACACCTCTTCTGAGAATTACCATGCTTTGCATGACTACGACCAGCTCCAAGTACATCAGGAGTGACAGGGAACTGGATCCTTGATGGGGCAATCCAGTCACTCATCCATCAGCCACAGCAACTGCATCAGTGATTGCGGTGTCTTAATCAAACCACCAATCATTCTCTTTCCCCATGGTTTTTCAAACTGGCATTGGAGCTGAGAAAATAAATTAAACCCCAATTTGGTGAGCTAAAGAAAAACATGTTTCTTAATACATCGTGAAAGAATTTGACTGATAAAAAACACATTTTCATGAGATCTTCTAAGGGAAAACCTATAAATTATATATTAGGCCTGCACAAGCAGATAAAAATAACAAGCAAAAAATTAGACTGATCAGGGAGGAAGAAAAAAAAAGGAGGGGGATAGCTAACCTTCAGAGTTTATTAAATAAAATATTTTTAATTGCATTAAGTCAAAATAGAGTAAAATAAAACATATTTTAAGGCAAAGCCAGAATATCTACTAATAAATTTGACTTCAAAATTATAAAGGGTATATTAAGTATCAAAAACAGAAAACATTTGTCAAACCCAACAGGATGTACAACACAAAAAATGAACCCTAATGTGGACCCCATATAGAGATTGTATTTGAAAATAATGCATCATTATTGGTTCATCTGCTGTAACAAATGTAATAAACCAATGCAAAGTGTTAATAGGAAATTATGGGGAGAGAGAGGAGGGACATGGGAATGCTCTGGATTTTTCACTCAATTTTACATGAATCTAACACAGCTCTTAAAAAAATTGTCAATTAAAAAAAAGAATGAAGTATTGGTACATTCTATAACATGGATGAACCCTAAAAATACTATATTAAGTAAAAAAAAAAAAAAAGCCAGATACTAAAAACCCCATATGTTTTGTGACATATGGAATGAAATATATGAAATATCTAGCATAGGAAAATTCATAGAGACAGAAAATAGATTAGTGATTGCCAGGAGCTGGGGGAAAGAAAAAAAAATGAGTAGTGACTGATTAATAGTATGGAGTTTTCTTCCAGAGTAATAATCTAGAACTGCATGCTGATGATGTTTGGACAATATTGTGAAGGTATAAATACCACTTAATTGTATACTTTAAGATGGCTAAAATACCCATTTTTTAACTTGATTATCTGTTTTTTTGTTTCTTGGTTTTTTGGGGGAGGGGGCACTGGGAGGGTGCTGTTCATCATTAGCCATGAGGGAAATTCAAATCAAAACCACATCGAGATACCACCTTACACCAGTTAGAAGGGCAAAAATTAACAAAGCAAGAAACAACAAACGTTGGAGAGGATGTGGACAAAGGGGAACCCTCTTAAACTGTTGGTGGGAATCCAAGTTGGTGTAGCCACTTTGGAAAACAGTGTGGAGATTCCTCAAAAAATTAAAAATAGAGCTACCATATGACCCAGCAATTGCACTACTGGGTATTTACCCCAAAGATACAGATGCAGTGAAAAGAAGGGCCACATGCACCCCAAGGTTCATAACAGCAATGTCCACAATAGTCAAACTGTGGAAAGAGCCGAAATGCTCTTCAACAGATGAATGGATAAAGATGAGGGCCATATATACAATGGAATATTAATTACTCAACCATCAGAAAGGATGAATGCCCAAATTTGCATCAACATGGATTGGACTGGAGGAGATTATGCTGAGTGAAATAAGTCAAGCAGAGAAAATCAATTATCATATGGTTTCACTTACTTGTGGAACATAAGAAATAACATGGAGGACATTAGGAGAAGGGAAGGAAAAATAATTGGGGTAAATCATGGGGAGAGATGAACCGTGAGAGACTGTGGACTCTGAGAAACTGAGAGTTTTAGAGGGGAGTGGGGTGGGGGGATGGGTGAGCCTGGTGGTAGATATTAAGGAGGGCATGTATTGCATGGAGCACTGGGTGTTACACATAAACAATGAATCTTGCAACACTACATCAAAAACTAATGATGTATGGTGACTAACATAACACAATTAAAAAAACAATATAAATAAATAAATAAATGGCTATAATAATGAGTTTTACGCATTATGTTTAAAAATTTAAAAACTAAGTAAAATAAATATGTAAATACTAGTGGGAAAATAATACTTAGTTTCAAACATAAACATATGAGTCTTTAAAAAAGAAAAAATACTAGGAGCCAAAAGAGACACTCCAGGATGTGATATATGAGTGACTATGATGGCTGCCGTCCTAGAAAGTAGCAGATTGTCATTAGTAGGTATTCCTCATTCTCATTCAAAATACTTCAAGACTTTTTCCAAGTCTTTCTTTTCCCATATTCTTTCTTCTTCCACTTATAGTTTCTCTTAATTAGTTATAGCTTTAAAATATTTTTACCATAGGGGCGCCTGGGTGGCTCAGTGGGTTAAGCCTCTGCCTTCAGCTCAGGTCATGATCCCAGGGTCCTGGGATCGAGCCCCGCATCAGGTTCTCTGCTCGGTGGGGAGCCTGCTTCCCCTCTCTCTCTGCCTGCCTCTCTGCCTACTTGTGATCTCTGTCTGTCAGGTAAATAAATAAAATCTTTAAAATATATATATATTTTTACCATATGTTGTATTTATTGCTTCTATTTATTTATCTTGTAATTATTGATTTTAATGTACTTTTTTGTTTTAAAAATAAAATTGACATCTTCATATATACAATATAAGTTATTTTTTCTCTTTTTTCCAGTTTTATTGTGAAACAATTGACATATATAATCACTATGTAAATTTAAGGTATATAGCATGATGGTTCAATTTGTATATATTGTGAATTGATTACCACAATCCATTTAGTTAACATCTATCATCTCATATAGATACAATGTAAAGAAATTAATTTTCTTCTGGGACCAGAATTTCTTTTTCTTTAAATTTTTTCATATGAGTGAAGTCAACACACAATGTTACATTAGTTTCAGGTGTGCAACGTGGTGATTTGACAAGTCTATAGGTTATGTAGTGCTCACAAGAGTAGCTACCATCTGTTACCATACAACATTATTACAATGTTATTGATTATATTCCCTATGCTGTACTTTTATTCTCATGACTTATTCATTCCATAACGTGAAACCTTCACCCCTTCACCCATTTTGCCCATACCCCTACCCTCTCCCTTCTGGCAACCATCAATTTGTTCTCTGTACTTATAGGTCTGATTCTGGTTTTTGTTTGTTTATTCATTTGTTTTGCTTGTAGGTTCCACATATGAATGAGATCATATGGTATTTGTCTTGGAATAGAATTTCTAATTTTTTTTCCACTCTAAATACCCACTTTCTTAAAAAGGACTGGAATAGGAATTCCACATTTCATATGATATTCAAGATATCTCAGTAATCAGATTTCATTCTTCTATTCAGCTGTATTTTCTTTTACTCTTTAACTGTATTTCTTATTTCCTCAGCCCCACTTGGAAGATTATCACTTTCATGAAGAAACTTATAAATAAACTTCCTTGCATTTCCTTCTCTATGCCTAATTTCATTTCCCATTGGATTTTCTTTGGTCTCACATATCAGGTTGTGATCAGTGGCAGGATAATAGAGAACTTGGGATAAGAGTTCTCTGAAGGGATCAGCCTTCAGATCAAATTTGAAGCCAGAGTGACATTAAAGCATCTTGATTTGGTAGCTGGATGATAGTGTGAGCCCCTTCAAGCAGCTGGGTAAAGAAGACTCAGAGTTGGAATATAATCTTTGTTTCCAGAATCCAAAGTTGTTTTTTCCCTTGTAGGTGTTGTAAAATATCCTGGGTGTAGGAAAGATATCAGGAGAACCCACATTAAAGAATGAAGAAGGCATAAAGATTTTCAGAGAAGAAAAGTATAGATAGAGCACTTGTTGGTCATATTATAAGGAGAGGTGTCCGGAGGTTAGTCAAGGAAGATTTTGACCCTTTCTGGAGTCATCATTAGGGAAAGGAGGCTTGGAGGAAATGTAGTGGCCCAGTACTGGCTTCTATAGCAACTCATTGTCTGAACACATTCTCAGGTGACAGAGGGATGACTCCCTCCCTCCCTATATTGCTCTTGGCAACACCTGGGACCTATACTGTCTTGTCCCCGACCTCCATTTCTCAGCACCATATCCCTCATATGAGCCCCTCCTGGCCTGGTCCTTTGAGCAAGCTGTTGAATCACCATCAGATGTATGGCTGTACGAATGTTCATGGTTCACATGCTTGTATCCCTCAGAAAGGATAAGTCCTGGGTGAGCTGTTTTTGGATCCAATGTCACATTTGCTATAGAGAAAAAAATAAATTCTGATCATAACCAATGTGTGGAGCATTTTAAAATATAAATTCCATGATATCAACATCCAAACAGGCAAACCAAAGTTTTTGGTGGACATAAGAAATTTGAAGTGAAGGGAGTTTATAGGGCACACAAAACAACCTATTGACACATAGAAGTCCTTCATCCACAGAGCAAGAATCACCAATAAGCAAGTCACCATATTTTTAAAGATCTTAGTGAAATGTTCATGCCAACAGAATCTCAGTCAGGTCTCAGCTCTCAGCTGAGAAAGCATGGATGGCTCTGCTACCTTTTTCTTCTTCCCCTTTAAGTAGATAACTTGGGAATGTTCACAGGAGGAAGAAATTTCTGTCTTTTAATCCTTTTGCTCCTTTTATCACTATAAATTCTGGTATCATTCAGCACAGATCCTCCATTACATGAATGTAAGCCATGGAATCTCATGTTTCATTAATGACTGAATGTTCACTGCATGCCTCCCCCATGTGACTGCTCAAAAAAAAGGCTAGAGAAGATGCACAGCAAGGCTCCCCCTACAAAGGATGCTCCATACCTGACTATTGACCTGACTTACCTTTTTTACAGCTCTTCCTCTTGACCAGGCCTACAGTTGTAGCAAGAAGTAATACCAAAATAAGCACTATCTTCCATGAAAAACTCATCATGGGCTCTAAAACGGAAAACCCAGAATCCCATTAAATCATGAAACTGGGAAAATTCCAAGATCATTCTTTTTATCTAAGCAGCTCTTGAGTAGAGAGGACAGTGAGAAGTGGGTCTCTTAAGGAAGAAGCTGATCTGTTCCTCTCTACTCTGCAGAAGCTGAGGGGTGACCCAAAGTTTATGCTAACTTTATTGTTTGCTCCTGTCAGAAACACACACACACACACACACACACACACACACACACATTTCTTTCTTGTCTCTTTTCCAATTATATCACTGCCATCACTGAAATAACAAGGGTAGGAAAAGGATAAAATTATTTAATCCACAGGCATGAAGATGGTGTTAAGGAAAACTAGTTTCGAATCACAAAGACAATCCACAATAAGGAAAAAAAAAGTGATACTGGTTTCACATCAGAAGAAGAGAGTTTGTCCTTGCAGTGATGGTAGAGTCAAGTCTTAGAAGTTAGTGTATATGCAACAATATAACCTTAGGGCTTTAGTCAAGGGATGTCAGTAGGATCTCCAGGTGTCCTGAAATGATAGCAGGTGCTTTTATAAGAAAGAAGAAAATAAAAATTTAAAAATAATAGAGTGATAAAATAAGTAATTCTTGGTTTACCTTCATATGTATTTCCCAAAGTTGAGAGGAACACATGGAGTCACCAACCTGAGAGAGAAAAAGTTGCCATTTTTTCCTCATCAAGAAGGGGGTTGCGAATGGAACAAGTTATGTTCACAATAGAGCTGTTCGTGACCAATAGAGATGTCTCCACATGGAACAGTCCATGGCTGCCTTTAGTCAGAACCTCTGAAAATGATGGTATTATCTTTCCTTCCATGTCCTTCCATTGCACATGGGGCTCTGGGAACCACCCTTCTGAACGGCATATCAGTTCTATTTCTCCATCCTTCTGTTCCTTTACAGTGATGAGTGGGGAAGATCCCAGACCTGGAGAATAGAGATCAAGAAACAAAACCTAGAGCATCTGCAAGTGGTTATATCGTCAGTAACTTCACTGAGAGGAAAGATGGGAAAGGCTTGGCTGAGAGAACAATGTTTATAGTGGAATTATACTCCATCTAGGGATGAGAGAGACTAGCTGGAATGGCTTCTAGTTTTGTTATGTTAGGCTTATTTTTATTTTTTGTATTCCTAAAGTCATCCTCAGTTAAAGTCACAGGAACGATAAATTTTAAATCCAGTCTTTTCTCTTCTGTATCTGAAAACAAAATAGCTTTGACCAAGATATGAATCACATGGACAGGATTAAAGAAAGTGAGTAAAAGAATATCCTCAAATATCAGCATTTTATAAACATGTTCATCCAGTGGCAGAAAATAATAGAGTACATTTAATTTCTCAATATGTACCCCTGTGGATATTTTATGATTATGTTTATGATTTAAGACCCAAAATCAATGGGAGAAACAAATCAATTATCCAAGATGTTGGCCTGTGCCTTCAATGGCATTTGCTGACCTTGAAAAATCAATTCTTACTCACAAATATAAACAGTGGGAAATTATGATGCAAGGAATGATTTTGTCTTTCTTCTTCCATCCTGCCAGTTCTGTTGATGCTTATTACTTTTTCTTTTATATGGATACAGTTTAGTCTTCACATAACTGTATTTCCCAGTAACTATACATTGTTCAGAATTTTAAGAACACTCTATGAAACCATGAGCTTTGTGTATAGTTGTGGAGTAAAATTCTCAAATTTCACTAAATGTGTGGTCATTTTACAGAGATCATGGGAAGTATATAGTTTTTACACCCAGAGAATTATATCTGGTCCATTTGAGTTTGTGAACTTTAAGTATGTACTGCAGTTCTTATCCATCAGAGGGTTGAGTATAAATTTGACAAGTGAATGGACATTCCAAAAATTTCAGGTCCCTGGGAAAATTTCCAGGAACTAGAATGTTAAAGCAGTAGGAACAGAGGTTGAATCCAAAACATCTGGAATCCTTACCTACTATCTTCAGATCCAAACTGGCCTCCTGATACACACCATCTTTTTCAAAAAGACACCGGTACTGCCCATTATCTGATGTTGTAGCATTGTGTATCTGCAGGGTCAGTCTCCCTTCATCAACGGCGTCACTCACCAACAATGTCCTCCCTCTATATTCTGCCATCTGCTCTTCAGTCACATGTTCCCCATCCACATATGTGTAAACAGCAGGATAACGGCATGATTGGACCCATCTCACCTCCATGCTCTGTGCATTAGTCTTGGGGGACAGGTAACAGGTTAATTGTATGTCTTCTCCCACTCTGACAAGAATGGGCTGGGACGGTCCAATCACTTTTAAGGAAGCTGTGAAACAATAGACAAAACACAATGAAAGACAAAAAATGGAGCAAATAATGTCATCAGTAGGAAAATCTCCAGTGGGTTTAGAACCCATGGGCATCTCAGGGGAGCTGTGAGGCACAAGGTCATCCTTTAGAGAGGGGGAGGTTTGGTGGAATCAGGATAGTGCTTGTCCCTGGAAAAAAAGAACAATTAATGGAACCCACACCCGTCTCAACCTATTTTATTCAGATTATAACTCAAAAAATAATTTTGTAATAAATACTCCTGGAATAAAAATATTTTGTCACTCCATATATGTATGAACTCCTTAAACTACTTCGCAATTTGTGTATGCCTTCAGTTTCTTAAACTGTGAAATAAATATATCACAATCAAAATCCTAAGATTGCTCTGACTATGCACTGTGAGTGGAGGCATGCAGACTGTGAAACTTGAGGACACTGAAGCCAATCCCTTTGCCTTGATAATGATAAGGGATAAAAATGAGTTTCAGGTGGATTTTTAGCGATGAAATGTGAAGAAAGCTTCCCCTGGTTTGATTTTTATAACACCTTATAAGTCAGATCCAACCACCATATTTTAGTTCTGTGAGGTCCAACATATGTGGAGCTCTAAACACCCACCAGGTTCAATATCCTCAGATTATTTTAAGAAACGTTATAAGACCAAGAATTGGGGAGGTTGGCAAAATGCAAAACACACCAAAAAATGGATACACAAAAAGTCTAATTCTCCCATTGTGAAAAATTGGAGATTTTATCTGATGGCTTTCCTGGACACAAGCTATGTTTCACTGCCAGTTCATCAGGCTCTAGCCATGCCAGTTTTTCTCTGTTCTAAATCGAGAATCATCCTTTCCTATCAAATGGCAAAAATACTTTCACATAGGTTATGGTCCTTTATAATAGAAATAAAGGCATAAATTTGTATATTGTTGGATGAGAGTCAATGATCAAAGGCAAAAATGTCATTATGTAATTAGCTAAAATCTGCTAGGTATTTCTTTAGAAAGGAAACTTACTATCAATCAACATGATCCTAATTTTTAGATTATTACCTCCTATTCTAGCTAAAATTTGACTCCCAATTATCTCTAGCATTTTGTTTGCTTTATCCTTCAATTTTACCTAAAATAATATCTCCAGTACTTATGTATCTGTTAAAATATGAAGACAAAAGTAGGAGTCAGTGCAACCTCCCCTCAGAACAATGTATTACTTAAAATATAACCCCTGGGAAATTTTACTAGTTACCAAGCACATTTAGATACAGCCTTAAGAAAAACAGATACTGCAACAGGCCTCTGGGGGAGAGGACAATATACGGCCTTGAAGCTGAGCAGCTGGGGATGCCCTGCTCGCTCAGGGCGGAACCGCAGCCTGCTTCATGGAAGCCAAGCAGCTGGGAACGCCCAGCCCACTGAGGGCTGAATGCCACCTGCTTCATTTTTCCCTTATCTCCCCTTTCTCACCGGAGAGCGGAGAGCGCCTGTGGCTACTTAGATAAGGCCTTTGAATGTGCTTGTTCAACTATAAACTTTATACTACTTTTACAGACATATTCTGCCCTCCTTCTTGTTTATCTACATGACATATGACTAACGTTTGACCTTCATCGACTCTTCTGTTGGTTACTGTTTCTATTTAATAAAAGCGAGACTGAGGAGTTGCTCCGGGCAGCAGTCTTTTTGACTGTTGTCCCCTGCTCCCAATCTCTTGCAGCTGACTTGTTTGTGCCTGATTCTTTTCCCGTTCGCCGACTGGAAGCGGCAAGTCAGAAAAAATGAACTAGGGATTTGTCTGCTGCTATTTCTTCTTCCACGTATTTTACAGTAAATTACTTAATAAAACAGACAATTTCCTTATCTCCATTATCCATATGAGTAGGTGCGTGATAGATATATGAAACCCCTGTTATTCCAGAATCCAAGTAAAAAATAAAGTTGAAAGTACAGGGAAAAAATCATGCAGCCCAATCTGTTAATAAGTGATATTCTTCTAGAATACAAGCTCCTTGAGATACGCTCTGCATAATCCCCTTTCTTTATATACTTTTATATACACTGTGTGCCTTCTACACAATTTGGGCATACATAATCTCTGTAAAGCATTTAGCATCAGACTTGGTGTATAATTAATATTTTTAAAAACTACTCATTTTTATTTTTTTATTTTTCTGTTTATTTTTGCAACTTCAGAATGCTTTTTTAAATATTATTAACATATAATGTATTATTTGTGTGAATCATCAGTCTTATACAATTCACAGCACTCACCATAGCACATACCCTCTCCAATGTCCATCACCCAGTCCTATCTCTTCTTCCTCTCCCAGAAGCCCTTAGTTTGTTTCCTGAGATTGAGAGTCTCTTATAGTTTGTGTCCCTCCACAGTCACATCTTGTTTCATTTTTCCCTCCCTTCCCCCATAAACCCCTGCCCTGCCTCTCAAATTCCTCATATCAGAGAGATCATATGATAATTGTCTTTCTCTGATTGACTTATTTCACTTAGCTTAATACCCTCTAGTTCCTCACTGAAAATGGCAAGATTTTGGTTCTTTTGATTCCTACATAGTATTCTATTATATGTGGTATATATATATATATTCCATTAGATGTGGTATACATACCACATCTTCTTTATCCATTCATCTGTTGATGAACATTTAGGTTCTTTCCATATTTTGGCTATTGTGCATATTGCTGCTATAAACATTCAGATGCATGAAAACTAGTCATTACTTTTATAAGATTATTTGATGAGGGGGGGATGGTGGAGGTTGGGCTAAATGAGTGATGGGTATTAAAGAGGGCACTTGTTGTGATGAGCACTGGGTGTTGTATGTAAGTGATGAATCACTGAATTCTACTCCAGAAATCAATATTGCACTGTATGTTAACTAACTAAAATTTAAATTATTTAAAAAAAAAATTATTTGCCAGAGTGGGAACTGGAATTCCAGGCCTAGGACTTCTACAGCCAACTGCAGTGGGTCCTTGTCTCTGAGTTCTAATTCATGAGGAAAATATAGAGGTAGCTGTGAAACTTCTGGTATCCTCAATCAACAGCCCTCAAAGCTCCTAGGGGTGCAGACCTCTAAACGCCACCTAACAGGGAGCCAGGCAGAGCTCCATATTTTCATCATGTGTTACTGTGGGCCCAGAAGGTCAGCACAACTAGGAACAGCACAACACCAGATTGCATTCTGTGCACTGGGTCTCCAATGGACATGTCAACATGGTTCAAATAACTCAGGAGTGACTATCACCCAAAGTCTTCCTAAAGATGATATTTACTGTGGGTTTTTCATAGATGGCTTCTATGCTATTGAGGTATGTACTCTCTATCCCTACGCTGTGACGAAGGTTTTTTGTTGTTGTTATTGTTTTAAGATTTTATTTATTTGTTTGACAAAGAGAGACACAGTGAGAATGAGAACACAAGCAGGGAGAGTAGGAAAGGGAAAAGTAGGCTTCCCGCTAAACATGGATCCCAATGTAGGCCTTGATCCCAGGACTCTGGGATCAGACGCCAAAGGCAGACACTTAACAACTGAGCCACCCAGATGCCCCTGTGAAGAGTTTTAATCAAGAAATGATGCTATATTTTGTCAAATGCTTTTTTTGCACCTACTGAGAGGATCATATAGTTCTTGTCCTTTCTTTTATTATGTAGTGTATCACATTGATTAATTTACAGATGTCGAACCAACCTTGTAGCCCAGGAATAAATCTCACTTGGTTGTGGTCAATAATCCTTTTAATGTACTGTTGGATCCTATTGGCTAGGATTTTGGTGAGAATTTTTGCATCCACATTTATCAGGGATATTGGTCTGTAATTCTCCTTTTTGTTGGAGAGCTTTTGTACAACAAAGGAAACACTCAACAAAACCAAAAGACAGCCAACAGAATGAGAGAAGATATTTGCAAATGACATATCAGATAAAAGGCTGGTATCCAAAATCTATAAAGAACTTCTCAAACTCAACACCCAAAGAACAAATATTCCAGTCAAGAAATGGGCAGAAGATATGAACAGACATTTCTGCAAAGAAGACATCTAAATGGCCAACAGACCCATGAAAAAGTGTTCAACATCACTCAGTTTCAGGAAAATACAAATCAAAACCACAATGAGATAGCACCTCACACCAGTCAGAATGGCTAAAATTAATAAGCCAGGAAATGACAAGATGTTGGCCAGGATCCAGAGAAAGGGGAACCCTCCTACACTGTTGGTGGGAATGCAAATGGGTATGGCCGCTCTGGAAAACAGTATGGATGCTCCTCAAAGAGTTGAAAATAGAGCTACTCTACGACCCAGCAGTTACCCTGCTAGGTATTTACTCCAAAGATGCAAATGTAGTGATCTGAATGGCACCTGCTCCCCAATGTTTATAGCAGCAAAGTCTACAATAGCCAAACTATGGAAAGAGCCCAGATGTCCATCAACAGATGAATGGATAAAGAAGATGTTGTAATGTACATACAATGGAATGTTATGCAGCCATCAAAAAATTTGAAATCTTGCAATTTTTAACAATGTGGGTGGAACTAGAGGGTGTTATGCTAAGTGAAATAAGTCAACGAGGGAAAGACAATTCTATGATCTCACTGACATGTGGAATTTGAGAAACAAGGCAGAAGATCATAGGGGAAGAGAGGAAAAAAATGAAACAAGATGAAACCAGAGAGGTAGACAAACCATACGAGATTCTTAATCTCAGGAAACAAAGTGAGGGTTGCTGAAATGGAGTGGGGTGAAAGATGGAGTGGCTGGGTGATGGACATTGAGGAGGGTATGTGTTGTGATGAGCACTGTGAATTGTGTAAGAGTGATGAATCACAGACCTGTACCCTTGAAACAAATAGCACATTGTATGTTAATAATTTTTAAAAGTAGGGGAAACATTTTGCATGAAAAACAATACAAAAAATAAAGGGATTTTAAAAGTAAAAAAATAATAATAAATAAATAAAAATTTAAAAATACAAAGTCTTCCCGAGGGACAGAGACATGTGTCAACCTGCCCAAAACACTGGATTGACTTTCTGACATGTAACTAATAAGTTCTGCCGGTTAAGGTTTGCAACTGCCCCTCAGAACAATGTATTACTTAAAATATAACCCCCAGGAAATTTTACTAGTTACCAAGCACATTTAGATATAGCCTTAAGAAAAACAGATTCTGCAACAGGCCTCTGGGGGAGAGGACGATATATGGCCTTGAAGCTGAACAGCTGGGGATGCCTAGCTCGCTCAGGGCTGAACGCCACCTGCTTCATTTTTCCCTTAACTCCCCTTTCTCACTGGAGAGCACCTGTGGCTACTTAGATAAGGCCTTTGAATGTGCTTGTTCAACTATAAACTTTATACTACTTGTACAGACATACTCTGCCCTCCTTCTTGTTTATCTACATGACATATGACCAACGTTTGACCTTCATCGACTCTTCTGTTGGTTACTGTTTCTATCTAATAAAAGTGAGACTGTGGAGTTGCTCGGGGCTGCAGTCTTTTTGACGGTTGTCCCCTGCTCCCAATCTCTTGCAGCTGACTTGTTTGTGCCTAATTCTTTTCCCGTTTGCCGACTGGAAGCAGCAAAGGTTTCTGTCTGATCATAAGCAGATGCTGCGCAGGCAGAAGGGAATCTGACTTGGAAGGTATGGTTTACAGGGTATAGGCCTCCTCAGCTTATGGATTTACCTTTGACCTTCCTGAGGCTGTTCCCTTTATCTTTATGGCCTGATGGGGTTGAAAGTGTCACACTAGACCCTGGCTAGACTAGACTAGATTGGGGTATGTTTTCCACCCTGATTTTCCTCAAAAATTCCTACACAAGCTGAAAAGTATGCTCAGTCTCACCTAATCTGCAATAGGCAGGTGTACACACACATTCCTGTAACCAGTGTCTTGAGGGTGAGAAGGATATTGATGGAAAATGAATGATGCAAGGTCATATGCACCTGGGCAGGGAGCAGGCTGGTTATCATGGGCTGGGAGAAGAGGTCACAGAAAAGAGGAAGATGGTAAGGGAGTAAAGGAGAAACTCAAAGTGGCTCAAATATCAGTTGGTTACTTTTTAAACCATTTATCTATATCTTAGGTACAATAAAATAATACTATAGTTCAACTGTTAATAAAAGGAAGGAAGGAAGGAAGGAAGGAAGGAAGAAAGGAAGGAAGGAAGGAAAAGAAAGAAAGAAAGAAAGAAAGAAAGAAAGAAAGAAAGAAAGAAAAGAACGAAAGAAAGAAAAGAACGAAAGAAAGAAAAAGAAGAAAAACAGGAAAATGGTTGATCTACCCAGACAGTATCCCAGGGTACATCTGGAAAAGTAATGGCTCCTGCCCAGTGGTGATGCGGTTAGGATCCACTGGCATGAGGAGAAGGTGCAGAAACCACAGCAAGGCCAGAGGGTTGAGATGATGGGTGGTGACCTCCAGTTACCATGATACTGTCTTCATGCTGGAAAGATTTTAAAGAGGCCTCCAGAGACCCACCATCTGTCCTATACCATCTCTTACACACAAAGGCAGCACTCTTTTCTCCAGCCAGAGAGAGCAGAGATTGCCTTCACCCCTCACAGGCATCCATCTGAGGTTCAGTGGGATCCCTGTGAACACTTAAAGTCATAGGCTACACAGTGCGAACGTGCCTGAAGGAGGCTGTGCTTAGCCAGTCCCCTCTAGTACTAACTGAACTTGAGACTTGGTAAAGTCATGCCTCTGTTTCTCATCTGGATTACGAATTGTCATGTTAGCTCCCACTGGCTTTGTCCAGGGATTACCAATTCCCTTTGCGGCAAGCAGTATCTCTTTTATATTAGTGCATCCAATGTCTACTTACCTAGCTCACTCTGGAGTTTCTCTGGAAAAAGAAAAAGAATAATATATTAAGGAATTTGATCTAAAGAAAATGAGAGAAAATATTTAAAAAGAAAAGAAAGCTCTATATGTTATTAAAAACTCAATTCATCACCAGGCTATGGGTACTAAGGAGGGCATGTATAGCATGGAGCACTGTGTGTTATACAGAAAAAAATGAATCATGGAACACTATATCAAGAACTAATGATGTACTGTATGGGACTAATATAATAAAAATAAATAAACAAACAAATAAATAAATCTCAATTCATAAAAAAGAAATTAAATACAGAAAAATATTCCTTCCTGTAGATCACCCAGTGATCCAACTGTTTTTCCTTTTGTTTGCACAACAAAAAGTCTCCCAGTTCTTTACCTCATGATAGCTTATTTATGCTGATATTTAACATACTGATATTTAACATCTTGTAAAAATTATATATATTCTTCTTATAAGTGCATTGTAAGTATAAAAATATATGGACATAGGCAATTATCACCTATAATCCCAAACTGAGAGGTAAAACATATATAAAGCATTTATAATATGCATTCAGACATATATTACATAATATATATTCATACTATATAATATATATTCAGCTCCTTTTAGCATTCACATGTAACATTTACTTTAAATTCTTTCATATATCAATTTATATAAGAATACCTATATTCTTATATCTAAATATAGAAGGTGTCCCAAAAATCTTAGTACAATTTTAAGTTATTTAAAGCCATTATTCTTTACATGATTGGAAATGTTTATAGATAGATAAATACATAGGTAGGTGGGTAGATAGATGTAATCTTTATAAAATAGCCCATCATAAGGATTTTTTCAGCCATTAAAATAATTTAGAGATATCATTTTTCATCAATGCTATAATTTATAGTCACATTAGGTACTTAACACTCACTCCACTGTTGTATTGTGCCCTTTTTTACTGTTGTTTTATTACTATTTATAAATGAGGCTATAATTAAGATGCTATTATATAAATAGTTGTCTCCATCTCTGATTATCTTCACAATGCAGGTTGCTAGAAGCAACTGGCACAATGTGGTATAGGACAACATTTTAATTGAAAGAATATAGTTTTATTTTCTTTATCATGTGATGCATACTTGTGAGTAAAGAAAATTAGTACAGAAAGAATTAAAGGTGTAACTTGAAAATAACTGGAATACCATTAACAATAGCTACTTAATCAAAATATAGTATATATTTCCAGACATAAATAGTTTATACTTTTTAGTACATAGGACTAAATTTTAGATATTTTACTTAATAAAAAAAATATTAGGTGCTATGGAACAGTCCTTTGAACCTTTCCTGTTAATCACATTGCGTATTAGCATATTGGTCCTAGAAGCAGAGCTCTGACCTGGAATGGAGATGACAGAGCTCTTCTCCTCATTGAGGATGGGGTTGTGGATGAAGCAGGACACAGTTTGCACAGAATCATTCCTGACCACAAGAGTGGCTTCCACATAGAACAGGCCATTGGCATCTTGGATGAAATGCTCAGAGACAGCCAGCAACTTCTCTCCTGTGATATCTGTCCAATAAACCTGGGGCTCTGGGAACCAGCCTTTTGCAGTGCACACAAGCTGGACTCCACTTTCCACAACTCCCCCCACGTGGATGTAAGGGGCAGACCCCAGACCTGTGGAGGGAAGACACATCCCTAAGGCCTGGATCCCATGGAGGCACAAACCATAGAAACCAAGATCCCAGTGACATTGCATGTAGGGAGAAGGCAGAATTTCGTGGGTCCAAAGTCCTCTTCCCCTTCAAATTGGAGTTCATACACATTTTGCTTGTTCCTCATTCTGGATCTTTAAACTTTAGCATATGAGCAGTATTTTTCTTCAGATCCAGACAGGAGGAAAATAAGAGAAAGGGACATAGTGACATTTTGCTTATGTCACTAGTGCTGCCAACAAAGATGTGTTATAATTTATTCATTGAGCTTCCCCAGACCACAAACTCTGTCTGACAATTTAGATGGTATCTAGACTCTGATTAATTAAAAAGTTTAATATAAGCCATAAATCATCTCCAGGAACTACTCTTCACATTCTTTCGGTTGGTGGTTATGACCTTGGGGGAGCAAGTAGATAACCTGGGTATATAGAATGAAGAGCTCTGGTTTCTAAACATTCCTTACAGTCAATGGGAAAATGTTTTTGAGAAATCCTAGTTTTATGTAGTCATGAAATTCTTTCTTCAACCAACACTGCTCTCAAACCAAAACAAAGGGACTCTGTTTCCCATAGATGATAATTCTCTATCATTTGGTGAAGAAAGAGACTCACTCCCTTCACCTACAGCCTTAGAAAACGTGTGACTTATTTTCAAAGGTTCCAGATAGTGAACAGCTGCCTTCCTCTCTCCATATCTCAGAAATACAGATTCTTTCATCCATCTTCGATTACCTATAACATAATAATAATAATCATAGTCATGGGTATTAAGAAAAAATGATGTTAGGAAACAGCCTTAGTGTGAGTCAGAGATGGTGACATCTCCAGAGAACTATGTCCCTGAGAAGGTAAGTGGATTTGCCTGATTTTGTCTTTGGCATATGGGGGGAGTTATTCTTGCCAGGGAAATAGATGATAATTTACTTTACAGATACATGTTTTTTCCCTAAGACAGATCCCCTTTTCTCAACTGTTCCTCACTTTGTCCCTACAAAAGCATCAGGCAAATCCCTGTCATTCACAAATGCATCTGGAGTCCCCACATCATTGAACACTAATATTTCATAATCTCCATAAAAGCACAGTTCTTATCCTCTTTCTTCCTAGCACTAGCTTTCTAACTGGAGGCACTCCACAAAGAAACAAAATTTTCATATTTACTTATTGCATGTTGGAGGTTGGGTAGAGGACAATACATTCCACTGAGATATGGCTGCTGGGCAGTCGGCTAGACACAGTGATTGGCTTGTTGTATCACACCAGCCTGATACACCAGCCTCATTTGTGCCTCAATGAAATTGTTAATGACCAGATGTCATGGATTGCAATTAGTGGTCACAAATAGTCAAAACTGGGTAAGTTAAATTTGAAAAGATTTTTTAAGTGAGCTTGCTTTGAAGACTTCAGGTTTACTTGCCTTCGGATGAGTCAGGATACAGGACCGGCATTTAGGAACTGCCTTGAGGATTAGAAAGGAATTTTTCAACTGGCGATAGGCTTACCACGAATTAATATACTTCTCTCTCCAAGACTCTGATATTCCAAAATATTCACCTGCTACTTGAAGCAGCAAGCTTTTTTCTCCACAGTAGTTATTCCCTTGGAAACGGCACCAGTATTGCCCATTATCAGATGGTTGGATGTTGTTTATCTTCAGAGTCACATTTCCCTCATGATTGCCATCCTTTATCCACTCTACCCGGCCTCTGTACTTTTCCATCTGCATCTTGGTCACATCGGCTCCATCCCAGTGTGCAAACACAGGTGTGCTGGGCTCCGAGGAGTACCATATCACTTTCATGTGCATTATGGTCCTCTTGGGGAGGAGCTGACAGTTTAGTAGGGCATCTTCCCCAATCCTGGCTAGTATAGGGTATGTAGGACCAATCACTCTCCAGGTATCTACAAAACAGAGTGAAAAAGAAGAACCAGGAAATGCCAATTAGTAGACTAATATACTTGTTTTGGGATGTCCAGTCTATCAAAATGGAGGCACCTGGAGGAGGGAAGGCTTTATTTTTAATAATTTAGAGAAATCTGACATGATGGTTTGCACATTTGGCTGTTCAAAAGAGAGTTCTGTGTACTGAAAATAAGATGCAATTCAAAAATTTGAGTGTTAGTGCTAAATCTATCACCACTGTGTGATTTGGGGGGCAAACTCATTATTTTCAATGAGATTTGAGATTTGGAATCTCAAGTTCTTCATCTTTAAGATACTAAAGCCACCATTAATGGGTTGTTTTTATTTTCAAATAAGTTAATGTGTAAGTTGATTTTTTACACTGGGAACTTTGCTAGTGACTTGTTTTGTATTTTATAGTAATTCATTTTATAGTTAGTGATCCCATTTTAAATTCTTAGTGACTGATTTCATAATCATTTTTCCTAAAATTTAGGTAATAAATTAATTCATTAGATTTTTCAGCTTTTCAGGATTTCTCTGGTTCGAGGTAAGCAACCGGGATTACTTTTTAACTTTAAAATATTTTTGGTCTGGAGTGGGCAAGACTCCAATAACTGGAGCTTTGTATGTACAATGCACTTCTGTGCAAGGACATTTTGTGGTGGATTAAGGGCAGTGGTGTGTCTAAAGAGTCTGAGACTTTTAATCAAATTTTGAATCACATTTGACCTCTTGTCATTTTCTGCAAATCAAAGGGATATTTAATAATTCCACATGTTATTATGTTTAATAATCTCATAAGTTATATATATTACATTCTTCCTTATCCTAAAATGCTCCAGGGCCATTTGTACTTTCTCTGTCACATCCAATCATCCCAAGAAGGAAGAAACCTCAACTTGCTCACTTGCTGATGAATATCAAATAGATGCCAATCAAAAGCTCACTGCAGAGCTTAAGTGGAGATCTGCTCACATTCTTCATTTATGGAATCCAAATACGAAGACATTCCATCTGGCTGACTTCTTTTACAGGTTAGGAAATTGCATTATACAGAGGTCAGAACAGCTGCACATCACGTCACATAGTTTCTACAGCCCTTGGTCTGGAGCCTGAGCCTTCTGGCACCCTGTCCAATGTTTTTTGTTTTGTTTTGTTTGGTTTGGTTTTGTTTTCCACTTTTGTATGCTGTATTCTCCTCGGGACTTTGGAATTTCTCCCTGACACTGAATTTTCATATCCCTTTTTAAGGTGCAATTCAGCCACTGAGATTTCCAAATCCATTTATTGGAAATCTTCTAATTTCTTAGTTTCCAAGTGTTTTTATGATGTTTAATTTGTGGTAAGAAACAACCATTTTTCTTGCACCCAAAGTGCTGTCCTGTGTGGAAGCAGGAAAATGGATAAATAACTTCATGTGTTCTAGGTACTTCTTCCTGGGCAGCCTCATTTAATTCTAAAGCCTGTCCTAGACTTTAAGACATAGGTATGTTGTTATTATCATAAAGATGAGACAACTATAAGGCAGAAGGCACTCAAGTAGCTTTTCAAAGGTAAGCCAGCTGGAAGTGGAGGACCCTTTCCGGAACACAGATGCATTGGTTCCTGGTCCCCCAGTTCTACTATTGTCCTAGTACTATTGATTTAGAGTTCTGCCTGTGGACTCTATCACTGAGACATTAGGTGTACAGTAAAGGGGAGAAGGAAGGGCACCCTACCTGGCTCCCTTATGGTGAGCAGTACAAAGAAGAAAGAGGCAACTGCACCAGACACACTGTATCCTGGAAAATCCAGCATTCTCCCTGCAAGCAATACAAAAGAAAAATATGAGTACACCCAACCGATACTGTAATGGAGCAAGTCACTCTGTGGTTTCCAACAGGTACATAGTTACAAGAAGGAATCAACATCAACCCCTCCACAATCAAACAAGGAAATGGCCTTGGCTCAATTTCTCCACAGTTTCTCTGATCATTTCTGACCCCTTACCTCATGTGTTGTACTTCAAGCTATTTTTTTTTTAGGCCTGAGGGAAGATTTCTGAATGAAATGAAAAGTCCTCTTGAGTTAAAGGAACAATAGTATTCTTTTATTTTTAAAAATCTCCTAAGGTCCATTAATTCAGAGCATGCAGAAATTTTATAGTAGTATTCAAATATTATTTCTTGCCCTCCTCCCAGCCCCTCCTGCAAATTTCTTCATCACCACATTCTCCTAGGTGTACAGGAAAGAGCAGGAAGGTTCTGCATCCTCACTCTTCAGCCAGGAAGCCATCGCAAGTGCCTTGGGAGAACCCAAAGCCCAGGGCACACCTTGGAAAGTGAATGGAAGAGTGGTGGAAATGGTGCTACAGGAAGAGACCGCCAAGGAAACCACCGTGAATTGCCTTTCAGTGTCATTTTGAAACACAAAGGGTTGAGTAAAAGAAATAGCCCAACTACAGAGATCGGCAAACCCAACATGCCCATTATACCAGCATTATAAAAATGCTTCCAGGGACGCCTGGGTGGCTCAGTGGGTTAAAGCCTCTGCCTTCGGCTCAGGTCATGATCCCATGGTCCTGGGATCGAGCCCCGCATCGGGCTTTCTGCTCTGCAGGGAGCCTGCTTCCTCCTCTCTCTCTCTCTGCCTGCCTCTCTGCCTACTTGTGACCTCTGTCTATCAAATAAATAAATAAAATCTTAAAAAAAAAAAAAAGAAATGAAAACTGAAAAATTCAGAGTGAAAGAAGCCCAAGACTCATTCCATCTAATGTGTCCAGCTTCTTACTGCTTCCCACCAACTAGAAGAACCTGTTTGGGAGCAATGATAAGCTGGCGATTGCTTCTTTTTCCCCAGAAACTAATACCAGTAAGATTCTATAGGGTAGGGGGAAGCAACAGTCACTGAAATACAGATTATAAACCAAATGGTTCAGGAGATGATTTATATTCTATTATAACTGCTTTTTAAAATGATGCATACTTTCATCTAAAATGCCCTAGGAAAATGATACAAACCCAGTCACAACACGTAGATATACATGAGACTCAAAAATCAATATGAAAATGGGGCTGAGCATTAACAGACAGCATCGACAATCCACAGCTCACCAATGAAGACGTATCAGTCACTTCCCTTCTGAATGAAGAAGGTTGCAGATGCCTCCTCTTGTGAAAAGCAGAAACATTTTGTTTGAACCAGTAAGAGCAAATAACAAGCGGTAAAACCCATGCCAAGCAGCATCCTTCAGTCCTGTGAACTAAAAGGACTCACATTTGCTATAAACAGTTTACAGATACGTGTTCCTTTAGGTCTTTCATTTTAAAGCAGAGGGAGAACCTTCAAATGCAACTAGAAAAAAATTGCTCAAATTAATGAAGGTTTTGAAGAAAGTTGTGAAAATGCATATTAACCCTCACTGGTGCTCAGAGAAATTCGTGAGCTAGTATAAACAGGGAGAATAACTGCCTTAGACTAGGGTTCTGAAAGGGGAAAGGGAGAATCTTGCCCCTGGGGGATATTTGGCAATGTCTGCAGAAATTTTCGGTGGTCACAATTGGGGAAAGGGGACATCCGATGAGTTGTAACACATCGTACAATTCACAGGAGAGCCTCTACAGCAAAGAATTATCCAGCTTAAAGTGTCATTAATGCCAAGGGAAAACACTACCATAGACCATCTGCTGTCAGTATGCTGAAAATGCTTGGCAGATTTTTACTAAATAAACAACTGAACTTACATTGCAAACTTGAAAACATTTTCATTATCAGATTTTTGACATCCTTGTTTTACCATTTGAACATAGGCCTAGACTCTTCTGAAACTGCCATTGCTACTAAATATGGTAAACTTTGGTGTCGTCAAGAGATGTGACCTCATATATATATGCACTATCGAATACTCAAAAACCCACATTTCATTTAATCTTCTGGATAAAATGTACATCTTAAGATAGGATGATAAATGAGTGATAAGTGGTGATTTGTGTTGAGGTATTAGGTGAATAACAATTCTGAATTCCAAGGTCTATGCATGCACTGTTAAAATTCACAGCAAAGAAAAATTACAAATTACTTGTGGATGGAACTAGAGGGTATTATGCTTAGCAAAATAAGTCAATCAGAGAAAGACAATTATCATAAGATCTCCCTGATATTAGGAAGTTGAGAGGCGATGTGGGAGCTTTGGGTTGGGGGTAGGAAAGGAATAAATGAAACAAGATGGGATCTGGAGGGAGACAAACCGTAATAGACTCTTAATCTCACAAAACAAACTGCGGGTTGCTGGGGGGAGGGGGGAGGGAGAGGGGGGTGGGGTTATGGACTTTGGGGAGGGTATGTGCTATGGTGAGTGCTGTGAAGTGTGTGCACCTGGCGATTCACAGACCTGTACCCCTGGGGCTAATAATACATTATATGTTAATAAAAAAAATTACAAATTACTACATTTCACAGGTCATTAGAGGTTTTGTTTTGTTTTTTTTTTTCAGTAAAAACCCTCGAATGTTAAATTCTCAAAATGCCAAGTGACCACAGTAATTAACTGGTGAGAATAAATTGAGAATAAATTTATTCAGGTCACAAAGTTTGAAGTTGATAAATCTATATTAATTTAAAAAAACAGATATAACTGATCATAGGTTAACACATTTTTATAGACAGAAAGCAACATAAACTAAAAATTCTAGGAGACAAGGTAACTTTGTGTTTACTTCTGGGACCCCAAGAATCTCACTCTGTTTTCTGAAACCTCTCCTGTCTCTCTTCTCTGACAGAAACACTCATCTCTAACATTTTTTCAGCTGCATCATCACCACATGACAGACTAGCGAGGCCCAGAGACACAAGCACAACATCACACACGACAAACGAGTAACGTGATCCTGCTGCTCTGCGCTGTAATCTAGGACTCTCACCCGGCCCATTGCACAGCAATACTATGAGGATCACATAAGCTATGGTAGACCTTGAAAAACATGGAGTAGGGTACGAGTATCAGAGGCAAGTGGAAGGCATTATGGCAAGTGGCAGAGTTTCCCTGTGGATGCCAACTGTCCACATGCCCCACCTCCTCATCTTAGTCGACATCCCTAACTTCCCTGGTCATCCTCCACCAGGGACTCGTCAAGCCACTCACGTGTCTCCTTTCTCCTTCAGCGTAAAACTGGGGGCTGCTGGGTCTTCTCCTCAGTGGGTCTCAGGTGTACCCTTCATGCACACAGCAGGCGTCCAAAGGCAGGTCAGAGTCCTGGGGTGCTGACTGGAGTGAGAACTGTGGGACAGCCCGACAGTATGAGATAGCCCCCTGGGGCCCCCAGCTTTGGGTGAAGGGAGATTGTGCTGCTTCACCCAAACTGAAGGGACAGCCTAGTCCTGGAGGACCACCCTAAACATGAGATTCCAGGCAGAATAGCACACTCACCACCCACCAGCTGTAATCTTCAGAAAAGTGAAACTCCGAGAAGTGGACTTTGATTGGGCTTAGTTATGAGTAATCTTCAGGCTTGCAGACAAACTTGTGACATTAGCACTCCTCACCAACCTCAGAAAGCCAGGGCACTACTGCTGGGCTCCATTTGACACCCAGTTTGTGCCATCTCCAGTCAGGTCCTCACAGAGCACCTGGTACTGGAGATCTGTCCTCACCCTTCTCTCCACCTCTTACACATCAAGGATCCCCTCCATCTACTGTCAAGTTTGCATCTGAATGCTGTTTGCTTGCTCAGAGTTGGAAGCAAGATTGAAAAGCAAATGCCCCATCCCTAGTTTTACTAGTGAGAAAACAGAGGCCAGAGAAAAAGATTACCCTCCCAGCATGGCACCCAGTCAAGGTCTCATATGTGCAAGTTAATTGTTCTTTTTATCTTGGTTCTTTATCCCCCTTTGCTGACTTAGATATCGACTCTCAGATACTATGGAAATTTAATATGCTTCTTAACAAACTGGGCACAAAAATTATAATGATTAAGGCTATAGGCACTTTTTTTGGGGGGGGGGGGGGTTCTTGTTTAGGTTAGATTTACCCTTAAATTCTCCTTAAGTCAATTTTCTTGAATCAGAGAGCACATCCCCCTGAGGTTCTGCAGAGATACTCTCAGGGATTCAAGAGTTCTCCAGAATAATTTAAAATTTAATGTTAGAGGGCCTGGGAGTCTCTGTCGGTTAAGTGTCTGCTTTCAACTCAGGTCATGATCCCAGAGTCTTGGGATTGAGTCCAGAGTCAAGCTTCCTGCTCAGCAGGGAGTCTGCTTCTCTCTGCCCCTTTCCCCACTCTGGCTCTCTCTCTCTGTATCTCTCAAATAAATAAATAAAATCTTAAAAAATAATAAAATAAAATTTAATTTAGATGTCCATTTCAATATAAAATATAAGCATTTGTGATATTATAATGTGATATGGCTTCAGCTGATTTTTTTTTCCCTAAAGTGTCTTCCCTCCCCTGTTATGATAAGCCCATTATTGGGCACCTAACTTGAAATTGCTATTCTTGATGTAAGATTTTTTACCCTTTATCCTTCAACGTAGACAAAGTCCCTTCCCACTGTGGAGAAAGAGGACTTTGTCTCTTTACACTTTCTCTCTCTCAATTAGGTAGATGGGAGAAGTGGCCCACTTTACCTCTGGTTCCCAGAATGGCTGCAGTGCCACACACTTCCCTTTCCCATAATAACATGGAAGCAGCAAAGGAAAGGCACCCAAGGCAAGAAGACATGGGCCTTATAAGGTTCAAATATGGAGGGAAAGTTTGCTAATTAGAACGCTGGTGTGGAATGATACGGCAAGAAGGGAGTGATGTTGTGAAAAAAATAGCCATC